TATATATATATATATATAATTATTGTTTATTTGTATTTTTTGTCATATTATTGTCAATTCTGTTTTACGTATTATATTTATATATTTTGTTTTTATTGCAGGATATGGTATTAACCATGATCTTCAAATGTTGGTGAAATCATATCCATTTCTGGCAGATTGTGTAAAGAAGACATTAAGAATGAATGATTTGGCCAGTTTACAATCTAAGGTACGTATCCACAACATCATGATATGTTACACAATAATAATAGTTTTAGATAGTAGATTGATAATTATAATGTTGTTTTATATATAAATGATGATAATTATAATGTGTTAACACTAATATTAATAGATAATAATTTATAATTATAAAAATTGATAACAATAGTAATCTCCACAACTCTTAATCCTAATTCTATCTCTGCTGGATCAACCCTAATCCTGTAATGTATTGTGTCATTTCATTTGATTCCAAATATTCTCAAATAGTTTTCAACCTAACTTACACATAATGTGATTAACAAATAGATCCTAATATTTAATGCATAAAACTCGCATTTGTCACACTTATTCTTACAGTTATAAATAACTTTATTAATGTTTATGTTTTTTGTGGATATAGTTTGAGTCCATGAAACCAGATATCTTCGGCACGCCTGATTCCGATATGATTTCGAAAGGACTGAGTGGTTTAGTAAACCGATGTTTTGGTCAACCCCTTGACAAGAGAGAACAGATGTCAGATTGGGAATCCCGGCCATTGAGCCAATCGCAGATTGTATATGGAGGTAATCATAGCAGTAGCAGCAGCAGTAGCAGTAGTAGAAAAAACTAATTTAGGGTTTCCAGCAATATTTAGGTGTTATAAAAACAGGTGGTTGTGATTAATATCCGTAGGCAGCTAAAAAACCTGTGTAGTAAGTGACTATGGCTATGTTCTCACATGGCTGCTAACAGTTAGCAGGACTCGGATCCTGCTAACCGTTAGCTGTCGTGCGTCCAAACGAGAAAATCCTGATCTGGCTACTAAAAATATGATGATCGAATCACTGGCCAATAAGAAACTGGAAATTGTAAATGCGTACGTGTGATTGGTTGATGATAGAAACACGCTCAACATGCTAACCGATAGCACTTGCTAACCATTAGCGGTATTCGGATACCGCTAACGGTTAGCGCTAATCGATCGGGCATTCTCACACAGGTGCTAACGGTTAGCTCCCAATCCGGATACTAGGGCTCTCGTGAGAACCAGGCTTCAGAAATACAGTCTCTGAACACCTGTGAAGATTACACACCGGTCAAACAGGTGGCAAATCAGCATAAAGCTGCATGGCTTCAATCCAGCGACAGGCATAATAAAAGTAATTTTATTTTTAGCTAATTGGCCAAAAATAAAATTGTATTTTTATTCGAAATCATCATTATTAGCGGGTGGCAGCGTTCACTAAACAAGGTATAAAAAAAGTCTTGCCTTTAACTTCAACTAATAGTTTATTTGATATGCAATATAGCAAAGTGGGATGGAGTTGCTATTTGGTGGTTAAGATGCTTGGTTTTAACACCGGATTTCTGGGTTCAATTCCTATGAGAAATCAAGATATTCCTACCTAACATAAAAAAGTAAATTTGATTTGTTGACATATTTGTATTCATTTTCTCAGCTTTAGATGCATATTGCTTGCTTGAAGTCTTTGACTTCATGAAGGTGCTAGCAGAGTCTTCTAGTCTAGACATTGATATGGAATCTGGTATTACAACAAAAACACCGAAGAAAGTGAAGCCTAGAAAAAAGAGAGACAAAGAGAAATCTGTAAATGCAGTTTCGTCACTTGCTAATCTCTCCATCGTAAGTTTTGAAAAATGACCAAAAATAATATAAATGATTACTGTGTTTCATCTGGTATAAACCCACCTCCTTTGAACACAAATTTGGGCTGATTTTTTTTTTTTTTTTTTTTTGGGTGGGGGTTTGGGTGGGGGTGGGGGGAAGAGGTGGAGTGTGGACTTAAACCTGTTAATCCCATTTTCACTCAAAAGGCAATTTATTTATTTATTTAAGGCAGCTAAGATATTCATTCAATTTGTACCCTAAGCTTTTGCCCAAGGAAAAGCTGGTATGTAATATTATGCATAAAGCAGTGGATGGGCTTCTGGAACTATGGTATAAATAATAATCTATTTTTTGGTACAACGTGTGTTAAAATGATTATAAGAAGAAATATTGGTTAAATTTGTAGTATTGTGCTTTACCAAGATTCTAAATTCAAATAAGAATAAGTTTTACCTTTTGGAGCGCAATGAGTTAAAAAATGGTTGTAAGAAGAAACATTGGTTGTATCATTTATTGTGTCTTTAGAGAATTAGTCAGACAAAGGAAAAACCTATAATAAAGAATATTGCTATAACTACTGTTATTATAGTAGCATGAAAGTTGATATCAAACTGTGTCATGCTCATATAAACAAGATCTATATATCTATTCAGAGTATATTTTTATCTAAAGGAGACTTTCATATTTTGACATGGATTATTGTTATTAATGAGTCCAAATAATATTCCTGTGTTTGAATTAAAAAATACTTTCAGTGAACTTCATCCTCTTTCACACAACATAACATTGTCATGATCTGAAAAATCTGATTTTTGAAAATGAATACCCAAGTAGTTTTTATGGCATCGTAAAATGTTTTATGTGATTATATGTGATTTCGATTTAGTCTAGTGACAGACACAAGGATCCAATATCACCTGCTGATTTATCGGTTGTCTGTGATACGATGCTTCAGGGGCTTGGTAAACAACTTCGCTCGTGTGGAGTGGATGTTAAGATTCTAGAAAATGACCAAGATCATTATCAAGCAGTTAAGGTAATCCATAAGGATGAGTATGATTTATAAATCTGTCATATTATTATGTAAGTTAAATACTGATTGATGGGGTGAGTTATTTAATACCTCGTTAGAGGCTGTTTTTTAAATATTTTTGAGATGAAACGTAAAGTTAATTTAGTGGCTACTTGAGACATCTAGGTCGAATATTAACATCAATATTTTAAAAATAATAATATTTACATAGATATACAGTATATATCATAATATAGTATTCGATTTTGAGAAACTTTGTACCCAAAAGGCTATTAAACCAATGGATGGATTACAATTGAACATAGCAGACAAAATACAGTACCTTATTAAGAGTGAGCTAACAATGGGTTGGAGCTAATTATTATGTTTTGGTTTGAAATTAAGTCTCTTTCCCACAGGGCCATTTTCAATGTACTGTGTACTTTTTCGTTTCGACCTTGTCACTTTGCTGTACCAATCATAAGTTTAGTATTTAAGTTGCAAGTGAATAATAAATAAATAAACCTGAATGGGATTTCTATTCATAAGCCTAAATATATAAACAAATTTAAGGCTGGCTTGTGGCGTTGAAAAACAGCTGGCGCTTACAACCCGTATGCCGTATTTAGGCCAATGAGACATAATTGTTGACTCAAATAATGTTAGCTTAACAGCAGTACATAATGATCTTTATTATGTGTTAGTCATGGAAATTCCTACAAAAAATGGAGTGTGTTGGCTAATTTGCATCACACATATTGTAGCATGCAAATGCCAATAATGAGGCACATTATTATTTTCCTGTCTTATATGGGTAAGAATTGCTACTAACAGAATTCCTAAGGCACTGATGTTTTTTCTTAAAATCGCTACACTGTCGCTACATTGGAAAGCGCCCCAATTTGACCAACCAATCAGCATCACCAAAATTTGTCGGGGATGTAACGAAAGCCTGGTTTCCTTAAAATCGCTACACTGTCGCTACAGTGGAGGGCGCCCCAATTCGACCAACCAATCAGCAAAGTTGTTGGGGGTAGAGTGTAGCGACTGTATGGAAACCAAGCTTTATGGGTATAGTTGCTATTAAATATAAAAGTAATAAAAGATATTTGATGCCCTATTTCTGTAGATTGCGAAAACTGAAGGCCGTATCATTCTGACAAGAGGAACACCATATATATCAGTAAGTTTGAAATTCATTTTACAAATGCAATACTCTATTTTTTTTTTGCCATGGTATTAAAATATTAAATTTCATTAATTTGATTAATTCATTTTATTGAGTTCTACAGTATTATTTCACAGAAGGCAGTTACACTTGCCTAAGTAAAATACAAAATGGCATTGAAAAATTGTTCAACCTTGATAAAAATTTGACTTAGAGATCATTAATTAATGGAAAACACAACAATTTGGCATGTAAAATAAGATCGACTTGAAATTATTTGAGTTAGGCAAAGTCTTTTTAAATATAGATTTCTAATGTATTTTTGTTTTTAATATCATTATAGGTAATCACAATTTTATTTCTGCGATGTGATTTATATCAAATTTAATTTAATAGTATATAATTGTAATCTCACCCTTTTTTCTAGTTGCGATCACAAGTCGGGGATGACCGTTGCTATCTTGTGAGGTCACTGAAAGCTTGTGATCAACTGGTGGAGGTCCTTAATTTTCACAACGTGCACGTCACCCCAAAAGATATTTTCAGTCGATGTCAGGTAGGTATTTGATGTCAAAGATTACATTGCCCATAATATAATTTTAATCCCAATTTATTTGAATATTTTATTACAGAGGCTATTATTTAATGACAATAGAGTACTACAGTGTTACGTCACAACGTCACATGATACTACTCCACTGCTATTGGTGACACAAAATGCGTTCAACCGGACGCCATTTTCTCCGCCGACAAACCATTGATCCCAAATTCTAACATAATTATTAAGATGTTGTATCTTAGTTTTTCTTTGTAAATTTTAATTAATGATTAAATGTGTTCAATAACTAAGACAATGTGAGCTTCTGTGTTTTTAGTACATTTTGATGGAAAATTATTAGGTTTTAAAATGCCTATTCCAAAAAGCCTATTCTAAACCATTAAGATTATGAAATCATTCTGGCGTAATGAACAGTAACCAACGTCTGGTTGACAACAAAATGCACCACCTGGTGTTGTGACGACACGACTGTTGTACTCTATACAAAAAAGTCTGTATCCCTAAGGAACTAAATGCATCTCGGGGTAGGGATGTTAGTCCACAAGGGTCCTAGTGACCCCCATACCTCCTCAGTGGTTTAATCGTTAACCCACTTGGTGAATCTCCTCAACTACATATTTGTTGACCTCCACTGATGGCTGATCAGTCAGGGGAAAATGCTAGAATTCAGTTTAATACTTTATTCAGTCCATCATAATAACTATTGTCTTCAAGCATGTAATACAGTTCGAGCAGTTTAATATATAAATAATGGATGCAGTATTAAAATACAATTAAAATAGTGAATAGGTTTAAAATAGACATAAAATCAAGTTAAAACATTGAAGTACAGCAGAACTCCTCTTAAGTGAAAACATTCGGGACCAAAGAAGTGTCCCCTCAAATAAGGGTGTCCCCTGAATAGGGGTTTGCCCGTGGTATTCAAAGATATACTCCCTCGTTTTGTGGCTGAAAAAGTGTTCCCTTAATAGGGTGTCCCAAAGTCAGGGGTTCTACAGTAGGTTTAAAACCATTTAAAATATTATAAATGCAAAGCCAATAGATGCCACCAAATTTTGAATTATATGCCAAAATGTTTTGGGAATCTTTGACTCATCTACCTCTGGCATTGTCTTTCTTAGATGTGTAATGGTAATGGTTATGCCAAAGTAACGTCTGCTACAATGAGGATAGCCTTTGAGAAGAAGAATGCAAATCAACAACAGCAACACTCAATGCAATTTGGGCCAGCAGAAATGGGTGCGTACTCTGACCCTTACGGATTTGATCTGGATGATGCTGAAGATGAAATGGAGTTCTTCCTTGATTCTGATGTAACGAGTAACAAAGCAAGCGGATATTATGATGATTATGTTAATGAGTACATCTCTCTAGAAAACACCAATTCGAAATTCAACATACCAACCGAAAAACCTCATGAACAGGAAGATGAGGGCGCTGTAGCATGTAGTTCAAATGGATACAAGGAAAGTTTTGTATCTTCCGATCATACTATTAATCTAGATGACCTAACTGTTGGTGATGGGGTCCAAGTTCAGATGGATGTCTTACAAGAGAGTATGTTTGACAATGTTGACATCTTCTTCTGTTGCATTAAATGTGGCAAAATTTATTGGGAGGGAAAACATTTCTGTAATGTATTGGAACAGTTTTCACATATTCTTCATAGAGGGCCTGATAGACAGGGACGTGACGTACTTGGATCGCTTGAACAAAATGATGGGATTGAAGCGATGTAGAAGGGTTTTGTTTTGTAACTGTGTATCATTTTAACCAAATAAGTATGCTTGCAGAATTCAGTTGAAATAAATGTATGTTTTATGATTCCTGTGTATTTTAATTTTTAATAAAGAAAATGTGTAAAAAGGTTGTTTGCTTTGGTTATAATTATTCTTCTTGAATCAGGAAATGTTCTAGGATGGACTTTGTTTCAACTTATATGTTGAAGCAGGCACTCTTTCACGTCTTTCTCTTCCAGTGTTGCAATCAACAGAATGACAAATTAAATGAGCCATTGCTCTTTAGATATTCAGTCACTTTGGGAAGCCTCATCTGGACCAATTTGCATCAAGAACCAACGCTCGCTTACCTCTGTATGCGCACATTTTCAGGATCCTCACTATTGGCCATGCATGAGGATTATGGGTAGTCTCTTTCCAATTTTAAGAGAACCAGCCTTGCTGGGCCTCTTGAATCTTCCCCAATCATCTTGCGAAATTAAGATCAAATGGCCATTTTGATTACAAATTGACATATCATATCTTAGCCAATATGTCTACAGCCATCATTTAGAGTACAGTACTCAATGCAAAATTTGTTTTAATATTGTACTTCAAAGCATTCATTTTCAAGCCTATTTGGTTACCTCTTGATCACAAATCCATCATTAGAAATTTTGTGTATTCCTGGATAATGATTTCAGTATTAAAGCTTGGAGTCTTGACAACCAATGTCACTGACAGATAAGAACGACATATTATTATTATTGTAAGATCAAATTAAAGCTGATTAATTACCATTTTAATTTAATGATAAACTGTCAGTTTGGAGCTAATACTGTATATTATGCTTAGCCACATGTTAGCTGCTAGAAGCAAATTCTTACAGGGGTCCCAAGTTGGAAGAAACCGATTAAATGAACTTTCTTAACACATTTAATATTATTTTGCTGCACGTGGTGATAAACATAGGAACTAACTTCTGAGAGATTGATAGTAAAACATTTTACCTATAAATTATATTCATTTTTGCACTTCAATGTCATTCAAATGTTTCCCCATGTACGTGTTTTTTAGTGCACTATTAGCCTATGCATTGCAAGCTTCTGTTATAAATTAATTCAAAACTTTTTTTAAATATTTGATTTTAGCAAATTTTGCTCACCTTTGCCCCAAACATGCAGAGCATAGAAAGGGTATCTAGTTGTCCACTAGGGGAAGTGGCTCTATAGGTTACCAGATGCTATTTCCAGGCATCTAGGGTGGTTGTTATTTTTTTTCTTTTATTTTGGCACAATATTTTTAAGGGTTGAGGCTTAGCGGAATGGTTCATTGTCTCCTCGGTAGTATGGGAAGTAGAGCTGTTGGCTCAGTATCCTTTTATAGTTATTTGTAAACATGTGACACATAGACATAGAAGACATCTCTTTATTCATTCATAATTGAAAATTACATTGTTTTTCTCCTTTCTCAAAGAAGAAATAAAATTTACATGATTTATCTAGGTAAACAAAGAAACTATCTAACATGTCTATTGTTAAAGAGGCAAATTCCAGAATTGCGAAATTGAGAATTTAGATGCCATCCAATGCGAAATGCGATGCGAACACTGTTTATTCGTATAATAAAAAAAACTGCTTATTGTAGTTTAATGATTGTTGGTTAACAATTTGGTTATCAGCAAAAAAAAAATTAAATAGAATAAAATGTCTTATAAGCTTATAATAAGTGTATAAAGTTTAATTAAGATAATGATATGTAGGCGTATACCTAAATGAAATAAATGAATAAATAATAATAATTTACAATTATACACCCGAATCAAGGAACTGACTAGAGCGTCTGTCAGGGTCCCGGCATTAAAAATCCATGGGTTCGCGTTGGGAGTGTTTTAGGGGTTTTTAATACCACAATATTAGAAATTGACAATCAAAATAACGTTATATTGATAGGCAAATTATCATTTTTGGTCCAGGAAGATTTTGTTAAATAAAGGCCCTGAGGCGTTTATTGTTCAGAATGGTTTTTGAGGGAGAGTTATATTTATTTATTTGTATAAAATTGATACGTACTGTATGCACTCAAACGCCTCTTAATTCAATTGTAAACGTGGAACTACAACACTTACTGCCAGTCAAAATGTTGTTGTTGCGTGATCATAACAGCTTGTTGATGTTACAAAAATGTAATTCTACTGGAGTAAAACATTAATAGAAAGTGTTGAGAATGATGTTTCCATTAGATCTGTTTACAGTCAAGGGGAAGTTTATTCGAGCATGGACCTATTAATAGGTCCATGATTCGAGGAAAAAATATACGCTACAGTTTGTCTTCAAAAGAGGCGTTTTATTCCAAATGAGGCTCTAGAAAGGGCGTTTATTAGCGGGGGCGTTTATTCCAAGCGGAGCGTTTGCACGGGTACAAATACGGGAATGTAAATACGGCTCGTCTCTGATCCATCCATCATGTTTTCAAAAGCACATTATGCTGTACTTTTGTACGATGGTGACGGCAAATGATTCGACACACTGGGTTTCGGCAAACTGGGTTGTCATGATTTCGGTAAACTGGATTCGGCAAACAAAGAGGCCATTAATTCGACATCGTGGGTTTCGGTCCCAGTACTAGACCAATTCGAGGGTGGACGCTGAATTAATAATTTGTATGTTTGGCCTGGTAGACACTACTGTCCTTGGCAGCAATTTTCCTTCAGATACCTGGTTGGTTGTGCACCTGTCTCATAATATCCAAATTATGGTTGAATCAAGCGTGTATGTGAACAACTGGAACTGTGTCGTCGCAAAAACATCTTCTAATATATTGAATTTTGGAATGGTGTTTCTTATAAGTAAGAAAACTTACATAATTATAGGTAAGTAGAGAGTGCACCATACTGTGTACAACAAGCCTGTACGCCTTCATGGTGTTAGATTTAATTGCGGTATCTATTGATGTGTTGTTGTTCAGGCCAACATTTTCAGACTGAAGACTTGTTCTAAAATTGTTTTGAGTCCTTTTCATACAATGGCATTAAACCGGAATATTTGAGTGAAAATGTAAACAGTAAAAAACAGAGCTAAAGATTTGTTGTTGTGTCACGACATACCGGTACCGTATAGTAGAGTTACAGTCGTAGGCACATGTTTTGCAACCTACATTCAACATGTAAGTCTAAGTACTGTAAAAGTAGGCTAAGTGAAATCATTTTAATTAATTTAATAAAGTGTATTATTATTTATAATAGTGACTTGAAACGATCCGTAGGTCGTAAAATGCGTTTTAATTTAAATACAGTAGGCCTATTATAACAATCGCTAAGTATAAATTATGATCAATATTCTATACCGAATATAGGCATATATATATATATATATATATATGTATATATATATATATATACTTATATATATATATGTATGTATGTGTGTATGTATGTATGTATGTATGTTTTGGCCTTCTTGTTTACTCTTTGTTCACGATGTTTATTCTCATCTCACCTAGCCAATTGTTTCTAGTTTTTTCTACATTCACTCACTCGCCACTGAGGAAGGACTAGTGTTGTCCGAAAGCTCTGGTTTTAATTTTTTCAATTTATATATATATATATATATATATATATATATACATATATATATATATATACACAAGTATATATATATATATGTATATATATATATTAGGCCTATATGTGTGTGTGTATAAATCAAAATAGGATGTAGGGAAAATCTAAACCGTCTTTCCAAATGCTATATAAATAAATAGATAAATAAAAACAATCTCAGATAGGAACATAAGATGTAATGATCATACCATTACCAAATGGGGAAGGTTAACCTAAAACTCCATATGCTGAAAGGGGAAGAGCAGGTTGGACCTCAGCTTTGTTATTATAGGACGATACAGGGGTCCGATAGAGTATTGGTTAAAATGTTAAGATATGATATTCGCTAAGTTTTATTACCAAAAAAAGTGTATTCAGTACATTTTCGACTGTCTTAAAAAATTGGACCTTTGTCGATTTGGGGTGGAATGTTGGGGAGCGTACTCTCTCATATTCTCCACTCCACTCATATTAAAATAACGCTTTATTAACATATACACTCTACATAATGTATTAAATCAATCAAACAATCAATTTTATTTTCTGAATTTGTATTCGTATACCTCATGAAAGTATGAATGTCACAAAGTTTGCAAAAAGTGTTTTTAATCTAATGAGATTTATACTTAATTAGACCTAAGTTAACACAGATGCCAAAATGAAAAATAGTTTGAATGTATTTCACTCTAGTTCAATCTCTTTTATTTCAGTGTCTCAGGTCAAATCTACCGATCCATCTATAAGTGCGAAGTCGATGTACAATCATTGTCAGCGGAACACGATGTGTATTAAACTGCCGGTATACAAGATGCTATCAATAGCCGGATTTATGTGGTCTTAATTCTACAAATAATCGCGCGCGGATATGTATTAGGATTTATATTACTGGATCGCCGAAATTGAATCAAAATTTGCCAATTACGTTTCTTATACAACAAACAAGTAATTCTCGAAATATATATGATACTTAAATATAATTAGGCCTAAGCATTACATACATTATACTATATTATACAGTATAACTAAAATCTTTATATTCTATTTATATTACGTTTATATAGTTCTGATGTAACATTTCCGAGTATGTAAGAAATAAAAGTAAACTGTAGTGTAATTCAAAATACATCATTTGTGTGTACTTCTTTGTCGTAATTGCATTAATAATATTACATATTTTATGATTATCAATCAGTATAGAATCGAATTAAATATATTATAATCACTTCGATTCGAATCACAGGCTACTATTACTATTACAGGCTATTATTACTATTACAGGCTACTATATCTTATAAACACTCTTTTTAAATAGGCCTATATTCACATGACACCAACAAATTACGAAACTTTTCATAGCAATGTGCTGTCGAGTTTTACAAAACAGGAAATGACGTCGGTTGCTAGGCTACAGCTCATGCATATTCAGTGACACCTGTGCTCATTAGACTAACAATAAAAACTTTTAGCTCAGTTTTGACAAAATCGACCAAAAAGATTTTATTGTTAGTCTAATTAGAACAGGTGATACTGAATATTCATGATTATGCATAAGCTTGTTGCTTAGCAACCACGTCATTTCCGGTTTTATGTTTTTGTTGAGGGCGTCCTCGAAAGAATTGCTAGTTTATTAGATAAAGTAGCACATATTGAAGCAATTCTTCACTTTTTGGGTAAGCTTATAATAATAATAATAATAATAATAATAATAGATGGATTTATATAAGCGTATAAGTTTATTATAATAAGGATAGTTTAGCTATCGAATTTATTACAGTAAACATAGACATTAAATAAGATGAGAAGAAATGCACAATTCCATTTCAATACGGTACCGTATTTATTTTCAAGCACTGAAATCAAGTTGTGATAAATAAATAAATATAATATATATATATGTATATATATATATATATATATATATATATATATACATTTTATATTTATATACTGTAGGCCTATATCATGTACATCCGGCAAAAATCAATAAATCTGATTTTTATACTCAAAATGTTAGGCCTACATCTTATTATCTTACATGTCTATATTCTTTACAACAAACGGGTTACTTTCTCTATTAATAAGATAAACATTAGCAGTAATAGGCCTATTAATAAACATAAAGCCTACAAGAATTACTACATATTGCTAACATTATTTTTGAGATGATTATTGCAGAGGAAAACATTCTAAAAATAAAATCTACACTATATTTTAATTCATTTCATATCCAGAATTTTTACAGGAAGCTTGATGAGTGACACAATTTTTAGCTATCTATGAATAATTAGTAAGTTCTGTTGTCCTTTCACGATTGAGTCCGGACATTCTTTTCTGATAGTTGTGTCTTCTTTGTCTACATCACTGGAATAGAAAAATATTGAGAAAAGATTAGGAAACAGAGAAAGAATTATAACGGAGTATCATCAAAACATGATATATAAATAAAAACAGATGCAGAGCCAATAGGTTTGAATAGAGGGGGCCCACGGGGAGGGACTTTGTCAGATGAAGGGTTCCCACCACCTAAGCCCCACCATGGTTGGGGCTGAGGTAAGAAACGTTTCGATTATGGCACCTCTAGATGGCCAGAAATGGCACTTTCAGATTTTAAATTTGAATGTAATTTTCTTTTTTCTTAAATTTTTTACCATTTTAAAAGATTTAGGGTAGGAGGAATGGGCAGGCCGGATGCCACCCATACCCCCTCCCATCCCCCTTAAATCCGCCTCTGAAAAAATAGTGAGCACCCCAACCTGAACATTATCGTATTCAGTTATAGCAATGGACAATGCTGCTGATACAACATAATAGTACTTTACAATTCTTATTATCAGCATTATCATATTAAATATTAATTATTATAGTAGTATAGTGTACTATTCGATAGAAATGAACGTATAGATTCATAAATACAGTATATTCAAGCAATAAACATAATATTATAATTATAATCTTCATACAAACATTTTTCATGATATAATATTTTTTGATTGATTGAATTAATTCGATGCTCAACAAGCATAAGCAAGATAACAACTGGATTTGAGATCAAGAAAAGTAAAAATTACCGTAATGAGCATCAGGAACGTCCATTAGACTGGAGTCCACCCATATCCAATGAGGTCCAATTTAAATATACATTGTCTGTTTTGAGCTGAAAGATAAACAATTTAATTCCATAACTCAATAATTATATTTAAGTAAGTTACAAACTTATTATTAAATATATGAATGACAAAATTGTTTTGGATTGGCTATCAAAATATATTTGTTTAGATCGGCAAATTAATGTCGTGGAGTCGGACTGGGGAGTTTATAAGTTATGGTAACTCGGACTACATGAGCAAGGCTGCTGCCTTATCTTTTATTGAAAATTGGGAGCCCTTGCTAATAGGGCTTATTGTTTTCAAATTCAGGCTTTTTGTATTGCTTTTACTTTCATATATGAATTAATTTTTTTCATATGACTTAGAGATCAGTCGACCACCTTGCCCACGTCTTGCTCTAGGCACTCTCCAAGTAATTTCATCCACTGCATATTATTCATCTGTATGTCGATAAATAAATAAATAAATAAATAAATAAATAAATAAATAAATAAATAAATAAATAAATAAGTAAGTAAGTAAGTAAGTAAGTAAGTAAGTAAGTAAGTAAGTAAGTAAGTAAGTAAGTAAGTAAGTAAGTAAATAAATAAATAAATAAATAAATAAATACTCGTGCATAAATGGCCAAGAAGAGAGTGTGACACTCATATGTGCGGCTCATGTCTGTTTTTAAACTGTTGGTGGTTTCCTTAATTTCCTATATTTCATATTTTCGACTTTCTTTTGGAGGGGCGCCATTATCATAATAACTGCTCAACTGCTGTATAAAAATTATCAAAATTAATTCAAAAATGGGGAGAGAAAAAGGAGAAAATTGTATTCATATTCAATTCGTTTCCGGCCATCTACAGCATGGACCATGGAGGTGACATCATAAATCCATATGTGACAGTCCCTCCTGCATCCCCTTTATTTTGAATTTCTTGATCCGTCACTAGTAGCTATATTTGATATCGACATTATGGAGGTACACATGATCCAGGGGCGCCGAGAGGCCGGGCTAACCGGGGCGAATACCCTGGGGCCCGGACCCGGCAGGGGCCCAGGAGAACTTAGGTAAAAAGTAATAAAATGAAATAAATAAATGAAAATTATTAAACGTATACATTCATCCAGTATCATTCATGTGTTTTTCCCACAAGAATTGTGAAAACTGACCGTTTATCGGTGAAAGCTGGTAAATATTCGCTTCTAATTCTTTTTCATGAATATTTTCATGACTTCTACTACTCTAGAGTTTATGACAAATGTATCAAATTATTTACGTTATTAATTAATATATAAAAGGCTTGGACCCTGGACATCGTCAATATACAAGTTACAAAATACGAATAGACCTGATAGAGATTCTATTGTCAAATAAATACTGAATTGATATATTAAACTAGTTGCGGATGTAAGGGGAAGCCCGGCCCCCACCCCCTAAATTTTTCAAAATTTAACAAAAATTGGGAATAAAGGAAAATTCTACCCAAATTTAAGTCGAAGATTGCCATTTCCGGCCGTCCAGAGGTGACATTAATTAAGATTAGAAGTTGTGCACCAGATAATTATAAGATATTTGGTAATAAATTTCATGTCAATGAAAAGAAGAGATACGAATCTCCAACGTGAACATCGAACGGTGGGAGTTAAGCCCCAAACTTTAATTACTGTAAATTTCAGGTCTTTTATGGTTTTAGCGAGTCACTTGGAATGTATGTTGTTGTTGAATAGAATGCAGCCATGTCAGTGCATGCTTCTGTCGAGGAAATTGTCAACGCTTTCAATGCCTAACAAACTTACTAAAAACAATAATCATAGAATGATGACAGAATTCCAAATTAACTATTGAATTAACGATGCAAAATGTTCAATACTGTACTCACATTTGTTATAAACTGCAAAGTCTCCTTCGTAGTCTTTCAACGCCATTCAGTATTGTTTATATGTAAAATGCCACCTGGAGTGGTATACAAAAAAATGTGCCATTATGATAATAATAATGATGATGATGATGATAATAATAATAATAATAATGATTATGATAATGATGTTGATGATTATGATAATGATGATGATGATGGCGGTGATGATGATGTCGATAATTATTATTATGTTGATGATTGTAGGAATCGACTTAAAAAAAACGACTCCGATGGAATCAGTATAGGCTGCTATGTGACACAAAGTTATTAATGGTCAAGCTGGCCCTAATTACTTGCAATCAAAATGTATCACCCTTTAAAAGAGGGACATTCATTTTTGTAAAGTATGCATGTGCTATTTTCCCGGCAGGTGATCCATTTTTTCAACCATGGTGGAGTTGAGATGGGTAGGATCAACAAACTGTTGTGTCCGCCCCTTGAGGGACCGGGTAGTGGCTCTACTGGTTACCAGCATGGGCACATCATAGGGGAAGGGGCAAGCCCCCCACATATTTTAAAGGGTATTAGTCCCACTCACTTTTCGACCGCAATGTAATTTCATAAGCAAAGAAGATGCCTGAAAGTTGTTGAATTGAACTGCATAAATGACCCAGGTTTTAAACGAAAGAGCGCTGTACAGCTAAAATAGCTAATGCCTACTATGGTTGTTGAAAATCGATGACAAAAGTTCATGAGAAATATGCTGGCGCTTCATTTTCACTATAATGGTGATATGATGATGAATTTTATTAAGAGTGTAATTTTCTGCGATTTAGAGGAACTATTTCTTCAAATTTTCGCACCTCAATGGACCACTTGTAAAATGTTCCCGACGGCTATGCCATTACATAGTCAAAATGAAGCACGAACAAATTTCTCATGATCTTTTATCAGGGATTTTCGCAAACATGCCAAGTTTGACAAATTTGCAGGTGTGAGACTTTTGTTCTAAAAACCCCTCCCTTTCCCCCATGATCTGCGCCCATGGGCGATTTCTTGTTAGATTTAGATAGATTTTAAAATTGCTATAGCGCCGGTTAAAACAGCAGTTGTCACTAGTGCTTTACAATAAATACACAACAAAGGGCAATAATAATAATAATAATAAAAATATCTGCAGATATTATTCTCCTAAAGACGACTGAAGCAACTCAATCGAAACGTCGAGACTTTCTCAACTACAACAGTTGTTTTCAAAACTACATACGTGGTGTACCGCAAGCTTCAACATATAAATAAAAATATCAATAACAAAATGATGATATTAATCATAAGAAGAATAGAACTCCACTTATAGCTTCTACAAGTGGAGTTGTAACTTGGTGGCGAGATGCTTGCCTTTCAATCTCAGGGCCAAATCCTGCAATTTCAAGATATTTTTCTTTTGAATTTTTCTTTCTAAGCCAATTTCGAGAGTTGCACTTGATTCACACAACACATCATCGTTAAATATCTCAAGAACTTTACAGGCATTCTTCAGGACTCACTTTTTTAAAACCAAGCTGTCGAGATATCATTGGTGTTCTTACAAAGATAAGTATTCTCAGGACCGAAATATCCTTGCTAGGGGGTAAATCAGGTTATTAGTTGATGATGTCGATAATAATTATGGACGTAATAATATTAATGTTAATAATGATAAATTCAAGACTTTCATTTGTTTTGCAATAAATTTATACTGAATCTTGATATCTCAGTTTATAGAGTATTAACTTCCATCGAATGATTCACTAGCTACTGGATGAAAATTAAATATAAAATTATACAAAAAAAAAGTGCAAACAAATCAAATTTTCTGTGCATTTATTCATGATGACAAGAGATGTATGCCATTAAATTTTACATAATATAATATATATTTATATAAATCTACATCCATCCCAATAGTAGCAACCATAAGTTTTTTAACAGAATGAGCAAGAATGGGAGGTGATGCAATTATACATTTTGCCAACAGTGCACACGGTAGAAAGACTGTCTCTTATACACATCTAGATGTGTATAAGAGACAGCTTTCAACTCCATTCAGTATTGTTTATATGTAACGTCTCCAGGGAGGGCCTAACATTAATTTGAAATCATTTTTAAAAAATAGCTTTCACACCAAAATTTCATTAAACATACTTAATTACAGGAATGAATTTCTTTTTACATATCTATTATTTGAGATTACATCAATTTTGAGCCTAGAATTGCTAAGTCAAAAGCCTCATCTGCAGCCAGATAAAGTTGGAAGGAACTTGGAAAATCAAAAATCATAAAGGTGAACACCGCCCTCTACTGTAAGAACAAAGTTACAGAGTTGTACTGTACTGCCTGCTAGTGTATAGTTTGCTTATGTGTGCAAGTTTATAATTATTTTTTAGAATAGATGACAATGACATCAATAGACAATTACCTAAATCTGGAATTGCAAACATTATCTACAAACTGCCAGGTTTTTTACTTATTTATTATGTATTTTTATGAATGTAATAATAAAAAAAACACATTCTAGTATTACTGATTAGAGTTACTCAGGATGCATCGGGACATGTTATCCAAGATGGGCATTATACTTACTAGTTGTATTTTATGGAGGGAAAATTTGGGGAACCAAGACTGAACATGTTTTTACTGAACAACACTACTATTTACCAGTACTACAAAGAAGTTCATATTTTAACAATAAAAACTGAAATGGAATTCAAATATTCCAAAATTGAAACTAGTACCTATGCATTCCTCCCCCTTGATATCAAATAAATATCTCTTCATTATGAACCAAATAAAAACCAAATTACTATAGTACAAGTTTCAAACCCATGAGGACGACAACAGTTATTATGATGGCTGAAAATATATCATTCAGCCATTTTGGTTTGCGTATTTCCTGTGCCACCCCAAACAGTGGTACATTAAGTACATCAAACAATCACTTTCCAATTGTTATTCCATCTGCAAACCTCTTTAGGTCCGGGAACGGTAGGTTTGTTAAATTTCATCAATCCAATGAGGAAAAAAATGAACGCAAAGAAGCACTCGTTGAATGGCACCACAAACTGATTTTAGCATTCGTAAAATGTACGTACAACCATCTATCTCATCACAGTGATACATTACAGATTTAGTGATCAATGTTGAAATTCACTAAACAAAGATCGTATGTACAAATGGCTAATTACATATTCTTCAGTCTCTTGAACTGTACGTAATATTTTGCGGCACATCGTGCTTCAACATTCAATTAAGAAGTCCTTTTCATTAATAGTTTGATAACATTTCCTCATAAATGTTGGCTGACCAATCAACTTGAACCACCTGAGCCCCCGCCCATCTTTGCTATTAATTCATCGCAAATATTTGTAAGTTCTGTATTTTCTTTTGTCTGAAAAAAAAGAAGAGTCATATAATTGACTAAAAATCGAGAATATTTCAATATATGGGGCTTGCCATGCCTAAACTAGCATCAGTGACAAGAACATGAAATTTCGTACGTGGCACCCTGGGTCGGACTATTCCATTTATTTCGAAGGGGTGTTCTGTTTGGGAACAATGGCCATTAGTCGGTTTATCCAGGTAAGTATTCACGAAATAGACACATAAAATTTGACTTTTTACAATATTCATATTCTCCACATTATAAGCTTTAAAATGATGGGTCATTCACTTGAGAATTGATTTACTAAACCAAAGTTATAAGTAAAAGTATTACAGCTTCTCTGTACTACAATACTGCTACACTCTTGCTAATTACTCAATAGGTGACAGTACGCTGGTTTGGGGACGGCAAGCCTCATATTTTATACTGCAGCCAGCAAGGAATAATATTCAAATTAATTCTATATTAACGCTTTGCAGTAGCTATCAATACCCTGAGGCTGCAAGGCATTTTACTACAAAATCACCTACTAAAATCATGCAACGTTAAATGAAGCATTTTTACTAGGTGCAGCTTTGAAGTCTGGGGAATACTTCAGAATGATACTTCAGTTAGAGGCTGTTCAATTATCAACATTTCCACAAGTGTACAAACAGTATGCTAGGGGGGCAGGGGGTAGACAAATTTGTACACTTTTACATATGCATGAAAATATTGACTCAAAATAACATGCAATATGTAAAATAATGCTAAAATTACAATGTAACCATGGATATAATATTTATTTTTAAGCAACCAAGTACATTGCTTTAGTTGACTTCACAAAAAATGGAGAATGTTTTTTGCAAAATCAACATTTTTTGGTACACTTTCAGAGTACCGAAAAAGAATTCTGTGTGTACACTTGTTCACAATTATCAATGTTGATAATTGTGAACAACCCCTTATAATGATTGCTATTGAGGGCAGCAAAGCACAGAGGTAATCATACAATGGAATTTAGATGGTATCTGTGAGAATAAAATGCACCCTCACAATTTTCTAGGACTAAAAAGGGTAATGAAAGGGTTAAATAACTCTAGACAAAATATGATTTGATCATATTTGGACATGATGATGTTTATCATCTAAATATGGGCAAATCACAGGTCAGTGTCACTTAAAAGCGTGATAGATCTCATGGTCGATGACAGCAAGTGAGGCAGAACGAAAACGAATACCAATATATCATTTTCGTCGTTCTTGCCTAAAACATTCTGACTTATGAATAAGATCCTTGATTCATGCAAAAGGCATGGAATCGCCTAAGCTGTGACAGATATACTACTGTAGCAGAAGGGTTGTCTAAAATTTGATGACGTAACCGTATTCATCAACGTTTTCATAAGCTGGTGAAAATTCCGACTATGAAAGCTCCATAGACCAGGTTCATAAAACAGACACTATTGCACTTTTTCACAAACTCAATAGACCAGGCTTGTGAAACAGTGCAATAATGTCTACTTTTGTTTGCTGTTTACTTCTGGGTTCTATCAGGACAAGTTTTTATTTCTAGTTTATATTAGCATGTTTTACATACTTTCCATTAATATTACCATACAAGTTCATAAAAGTGAAACATACTTTCTGTTCAATGGTCTTTTCCTGACTTGCTGCCTTCATTTGCTCACGTTTCATTGCTGCCTGCAGTCCCGTAATCTCAGCTATGTAGCTTTTCTTTACCTTGTCAATTTCAGCATTGGCTCTGTAACATTTTATAAAAGGTTTTACAATCTTAATACTATAATACTGTTGGCATTACACATACAAAAAGTCTTAAGTGCAGTGTCTAATTGATTTATTTAGTTTTCACTTTTTCTTACTTTTCTATTTTTTCTTCAGCATGAGATTTCAGCGTTTGGTATCTGTGATCTTGTTTCTTTAATTTGGCTTGGTAGTCAGACACACACTTTTTCAGTATGTCTTCATTCTGAAATGACACAAAATATACAGTTTTGCTTTACATTATTATTTAAAATTCATTAATTAAGCTGTCACTATCAAATTATACTTGGACTCGTCACACAAATCTGTTGCTTAAAAGGTACAGTGTGTACAGACTGTTGAACCACACACTATATTTTATGATCCATTCATATGTATTTGCATAATCCTGCTAACAAACCTATAAGAAAACCAAAACTTCTTTGTAGTTGAGTTAATACTATTATAAAACTCTCCTTTTTATAACCCTCAATTGTATTCCCTTAAGCTGTGCACACTATCAAGTTATATATGGGCACATCACACAAATCCGTCACATAGAAATTGTAGTGAAACAGACCGTTAAACCCATATGAACCACATATCAAATGTTATGATCCATTCATATGTATTTGCATAAGCCTGCTAACAAACCAACAAAAAAAACCAAACCTTCTTTGTAATTGTAATATTATTACAAAACTCACCTTTTTATAACCCTCAATTGTATTGCGGAGTTTCTCATATCTCCTGTGTAGATCACTAAAAGCATTCTCTACGGAGGCTAAATCATCTAAAGCTTGTTCTTTTTCCCGTTGAAGTTCTTCTACTTTACCCTCGGAGGAGTTTTTATGGTGATTCATGTCACCTGTAAACAAAAACAAACCAATGAATAAATTAACAAAAAGTAGCAAACAAGATTCAGGTTTAATATGTAATATGTATTGTATTATCAACGAACATAAAATATTACTGGACACATGCTTAATGTGTGAGTGGGGGGTTGATGATTAGATACTTTAGCGTGACTTTGGAGAGGTGAAAACTGGGGGAGGGGGGCGAATATCTTTCACGGTTCCAGTCTGGGTAGGTTGGGAGTTAAGTGGGAGTTAAATTAAGTACAGTACCTGGCAGGATAGTGAATTAGTCTACATATAGATTTACTCAACTTGGCTGAAATACTGCCCTCAAGGGAGTAAAGTTGATTGCATATTATGCATGTTTTTTCTATTAATCCAATGATTTAGGGTCACCTGAATGTTGGCAGCTTAGTGAAGCAGATATATACACATTATAAATACTGCACAAATTTTCTTTGCCTATTCCTGGCTGAAATTACATTCCAAAATGCTATTAATTTTTATACCTTTTACATTGAATTTTCTTCTTGACTATGTTTTTGTGTTTTATTTTCTTCTTTTCTATTTTTATGATTTTATTGTAACTGTACCGCTTTAAAAATCAGTACTGAAAGTGTGTGCACTATTAAGAAAGAATAAATAAATAAAAGTTCAAAATATGCATTACCCATCATTTGCTGTATTGTACGCTCATATTCCGTAACCAAAGCCCTGTTAAGATAAAAACCATGTAAGTGCATTAAGCAAATGTAAAAAAAATATCTGAGCCTTCATATCCGAGTTAGCCTTATAAAAGCCTGGTTCTCACGAGAGCCCTAGTATCCGGATCGGGAGCTAACTGTTAACACCTGCGTGAGAACGCCCGATCGGTTAGAGTTAACTGTTAGCGGTATCCGGATACGCTAACGGTTAGCAAGCGCTATCGGTTAGCAAGTTGAGGGCGTTTCTATCATCAACCAATCACACGTACGCGTTTACAATTTTCAGTTTCTTATTGGCCAGTGATTCGATCATCATATTGTTGGTATCCGGATAGAGATTTTCTCGCATGGACGCACGGCAGCTAACGGTTAGCAGGATCCGGAGAACATAGCCTTAGAGCATGCTTTTATTTCTGAAGTGTGTTCAGAGCTCTGCTCCTGTTTACCTTAAAAAAAAAAATCACCTTATGTTCCATTAGTTACTGGCCTTCATTGCTTCTTCGCCTAGGCACCTGTGATTTGGAATTAGCTTTCACTTAATATCCATCGGTCTTCATCTCTCCACTAATTAAAGTCTCTCCATAAAACTCACCTGTTCCAATAGATTAATGGTCTTAGAGCACTGTATCTATAATCTATATACATTTATACCGTGCTACTTCCAGCGGATACATAGCGCAGAGTGTCAAATTCAATGTAAAAACCGTAAAAGTGTTGGATCCCGCTCTGATTTATGCAGTTAACAAAAAATAATTAAAAAAAAGAAAAAAAGAAAAAGTTAGAACAGAAACAAAACAAAAACACCTTAAGTGGAATCCTCAAACTAAACCTAATCCTTAAATTCAGCAGCCTAACCCTCCCCTCAGCAGCCACTAAGACGCATCTGAGGAGGTTGTCGGATTAGTCTCTGACAGCTCGACCAGATCCAAGTTAAGTAAACAGCGCTTTATAAATGCAAATTATTATTGTTATTATTAAGCGTTTGGTATAACTTACTTCATATCTGATTTAGCCTTATCTAGAGTGTCCTTTTCTTTCTCAAGTTTTTGATATTTTTGATGTTGTTCCTCTAGTCTCTTCTCCATCTCCTTCTGCACTTGGTGTCTGGCTTTCCTTACTACCGTATCCATCTCTGTTTGAGAGTATTTAAGGAGCTGCCAAAGAGAAAACAGGTATAAACTTCATGTTATTACACATACACGAAATAAACATCTGTTCTTAGTATAATGACAATTATTAACAATACAAATAGAAATAGATAATATAGAGTTAATGTTAAAACTGTCTTGATGCTTAACAAAAAAAAAATGTTAGTTCGATGTTTGCATCAGGAAAATATCATAGGAGTGATGGTTTGCCCTACCTGATGTGATATATGACAACAATAACAAGAAAAATAATGGTATTTTATTAGTAATCTGCTTTTAAATTAACTTATATTTTTTATTAATTCAAAATAATAAATAAATATTTAAAAATGTATGAAAATAACAAAGTAAAGCTTACTTCAACTATGCCTTCCTCTTTGGGAGGGGAATATACTTTTGGACTGTCTCCAAATTTCATACCTGGTTCCTGCAAAAACATTGAAAAATCTGGTGATAGCATTTCAGAGTCTTTATTATGTCAACATAGGCAAATCCTTTTAACTATTGTTTGTTCCTAGTTTATCAAGGGTGAGAGGTGCTTCCATCCTTTTGGTGTTAAAATTTCATTAGTTCTCAAACTCATTTTTCCCCAAACAAACGTCCTGTAATTTACTTCAACCCACTTCTAGAAACGTTCAAAAACAAATATTTATTACTATCTCGTAAAAAAATTGATATGAAATGTTTAAATGATATAATGTGCTCTATTTACTACAGTAAAAGTTAGCATGAAATAAAATTCAATTAAAGAGGTCCTAAAGAGTCTTGCGACGCTCTAATTTATTTGGCGATCAAATTCTGGGTCTTTCTATATAAAAAGCCACTCACCTGGACAACAGGGCTATACTGCAACAGCCTATCAATTTCCTTTGGCGTGCCGTGACTGTTGGAGTTATGAGACGGAATACGAGAGGTAGGCTTAGAAGGCGGCGGAGTATCCATCTGAAATAGATCCTCCTCATCTACTTCTCCAAGGCGTGTGACCGCCGGAGGTAATTTTGATCCTGAAACGATGAAAATTATGTCAGTGCCAGAATTGATTTCTACTTTTGCTGTCTATATGAAGGTATTAGAACAAAACTGATATAAAATCTTGATCAGGCAATAGCTAAATGGCATAAATTTTAAAACAATGTTCTGCAAACTTTTTACTTCATGGCCTACTTGAGATTCTAGGCAGCAAGTCTTGACTTAACACCCAGTCTGAGGTACAATTTTGACATCATTATCTGTTCCATTAGTGAAAAAATTTTGTATCAACTTGTATTCGCTATATCAATGAAGTCTATTTTACATTAAAATGTTTTGCAGTTAAGCCGTGGCCCACAGTTTACCGAATAATTAATGGAACATGTAAATTACAAACAAAAAATAGATGAGAGTGCTTTTCCTACATCAGTACCAAAAATACAAGAAAAATTCTCTAACCATTTTATATACTAAGTTATCTTAAACTTATCAGGGCTCTATTAGAATACTCTATATAGTGGTACAGATGCCTGACAATTGTATGGAAAATAGCAACAAAACACTCACTTATAGGTGAATCTGATTTTATTTCAGGTTTCACTAGCGGATCAAACTTGACATACAGGGACTGCCGAGCAAGGGCCGATGCCTGAAACTAAAAGAAGAATTTGCATTGATGAATGGTTGGATAAATGGTTGATTTCACAATTTTAAAAATATAGTATAGTTGATGATGAAGCAGAAAAATCTGTAAAGAAAAATAAATAAAGGATGACTAAAACTAAGAGCACAACTGACATGGATGACTAAGTAGCTACTCGTGCTGTACAACTTCTTTTCATAATTTTACAATGAAAACAAAATTAGCAATGTAGACATCAGTATCAAGAAATGTAGTGGAAAAATATGTAATAATTTTGCATGAAGGAAAATAAATATTTACAGAATGTTACAAACTAACACATAAGCCCCTTTCAAATAGATGTTGCCGAAATATTGCGGTAAAGCATGCCGGCATAATAACCAGTCTATACCTGTTCACACAGCGCCTTTGTTACCGCAATATTGTGGTAATCTTACGCTTTTCTGTCTGAAAGGGTCCTATAAAATGGCGTAATATTGGCGGTTTAAATACCACCACGCGATTGTTTTCAACTTTAACCTTGTTTGTTTATGTATAAATGCAAACGTCGGCTTGACTGCCGCAATATCGAGTAGACTTGTTCAGACAGAGCAAGCCAGTATCCGTTACCGCAATACTGCAGCAATATTTCTAGGGTGCAATGTGGCCTAAAGTAAGCCAGCATATTGGCATATTGACACTTTCAGACAGAAACCCACGTTGCCGTTCTTACTGCAATATTGCGGTATTGCAATACAACTCTGTCTAAAAGGGGCTTAAGAGAACCGATGACTGATTGGCAAAAACCGTGCTGTACTGCTTGTTTTCACATTTTACAATACAAAAAAAAATCAACATACTTGTGTCATGAAATGTCATGGTACAGTAATAATACTGTAAGTAAAGTAAATGATTGGAACTAAAAAAAGTAGAAATGATTGATTGGCTAGATCATGCTCTACCGCTAGTTTTCATTATTTTACAATTACAAATAAGTATGTACAAATGAACATAACTAATGAGATAAACTTACAGAGCTTGTACTACCAGCTTTCTCTAGAAAATCAACATCAAATGCAGCAGGGTCAGCTGGTGCAAAGACTGTAACAAAACAAATGCATGAATGATAAATACCAGTTACTCTTAATAGACAAGTTACTAATATACTATTATCATATGTTTTGACTCCAATTTTAACATAAAATTCCATAATACTAGAATTTGTAATTTATTATTTTTATAACCGTGAAAGGTAACATCACATAAGCAGCTAATTGGTTGTGTATGCACTCATATCAGATTGTAAAGCACTACAAATTCACAATGTAACCTGGTGTATCAAAGCGGGTCATATGTAAACAGATCCACTGAATAAAAAATAATCTTTAACATTATTATTAATCTGAAATTGATGCTTTGTGATTATTTCTTGTGCTTATAAAACTGAATTAAATCAATGCTTGCAAAATACCAATTTGTTTGTCAAGATATAATGAAAACCTTCAAAAATTCAAATGAAAGAATTAAATTTCTCATTTATAAGAAGTAATGTGTTATAGAATGAACGTTCCGCTTAGCCTCATCTTTTGGATGTTGTTTGCTAAGGTCCCACAAAACAACGGCATAAACATACGAAACACATCCGTTTGTGAGACAATATGTGCATTGTGAGAAAACATGCATTTGTGGGACATGTGCGTATTTCTGGCCCTGTTCTGATTGGTCAGTTGTTAAATTTGAATGACACCACAATCCAGAAAGGTCCACTCTAATAAGATGCAAATTGAAACAAATTATTTTTTGGCTTCTTATACTACTTCAAAAATCTTTAAATTGACTGCTAGCCAATTTAAGGGTCTAAGAAAAAGAATATCAGTATAAATTATACCTCTTTTCTGAGGAAAATGTCATTTTGTTTAATTTCTTAACTGAATGCTAATAACTTGCATAGAAAGTAAATCAAATAATTTTACTGACAGTCTTTAACCCCAATTCCTATTTGTCACATTTACCCCTCAAAATCATTAAGTTTTGTTAACGCTTTTCATCAATAAGGAAGAGTACAAACATTATTTTAAGCATTACAGTCCATCAAAAAAGCATTCTTTAAAACACTATTAATGTAATATAGTATATAGTGTTACAGTAGTATAGTGTATACTGTATATATTATATCATCACTTTTGTAAACTGAACAGTATCTCGTAATTTGATATTTAAATATTGTGCGTATCACTGTCTATGCAAATGCCAACGCTATTTAGTTCCTTCCTCCGAGCCTCAGGGAAGGTGCCGCGGAATGTCGCCAGAAGTCTCAGCCAACACACTCTCCAGCCGTTCGGGGAATGTAAATTTCTGATATATTCTGACGACTTTAACAAATTAATCCCTATATAAATTCCATGGTGCATATGATGGCATGCAATGTACCATGGGATATATTAAACCCTGATAATTAATTTCAACAGGAAAGACAAGTCTATACAGTGAAATCAGTATATTGGAAAAGCCAATAATAGGGGTCCATTAGTGTACAAGCAACATTTACTATGACATTAACAACATGAATATAATACTAATAGCTGGTAACTGTTTCCGTACAAGCTACAAGAGGCATAAGTAATATTGACATGTATGTAATTAAATGGTGGTGAACACAGTGTGAATATTTTACATGACATGATGAATATTAGCACAAGGCACAGTATAAGTCTCCTAAGATTTCATTAACTTATCCTACTATAGTACTTAAAAAAATTCAATCAAATTATAAAAAAATATATAGTAAATTAATTAGTAATACACATAACTAGACAGAATTATTAAAATTAAGTTATATTTTATATAGTAGGCCTACAATAGCTGAATCTATGTATATAATTAATAATAAAATAAATAAAAGAATACTAAAATTTGAAAGAAAAAAAAACAAAACAACATGGAATAAGTAAAAAATACTAAGTAAACAATAGAGTATAAATTCCATTAAATTGACTATACTTAATAGAAGTAACAGAATTAAGTATATGTTTACAAACAGTATGCTAGGGGGAAGGGGGTAGAAAATTGAGTTCACTTTTACATACCTGTATGCATGAAAATGTTGTTTACATTAACATGGAACATATTTAAATAATACTTTAATAGATATTCATGACTAATTAAAATGCAACCATAGATATAATTTACATTTTTAAGTAACAAATTGCAGTACTTCAGTTGACTTCACAAAATGGAGGGTTTTTTGCATAATTAACATTTTTTATGTACACTTTCAGAGGGGAGGGAAGGTGTACCGAAAAAGACTACTCAACAACTATCCATAGTAAATTAATGATTATAGACAGCAAATTTGCCAACAGCAAATAGAATTTTTGCCTAATAAATAACATGTATAATTCAAACTGTAAGTAGAGCAAATTGCTTTGCGTAATAGATCTAAAATAATTATAATTTAATTCCACAAAATAAGCTCATTAATCAGCTGATAGCAGACATCTATAATTGCTCAGGGTTAAGACCTTAGCAAGGTCATGGAAATGAATACACACCAATCATGTTTTTATTATTGCTCTATAAATATTTTCAGTACAGTATAAGTAATACACACAAGCTATATTATTTGTTTATCTATTAATGATCATGTCTACTACTAAACTAATGGCAACATTAAAACAATAACAAAGACAATATCAGATATTGATGAGAAAAATGAAATAAAACTACTGTAATTGAAAATTTAAAAAAATAATTAAATGAAAAACTAACAATAGTAAGAATACCAACACAAACAAGAGCAAACAGTAACAACAGCAAACAACAAACAGTAACAAAAGCAAACAGCAACAATAAACAGTAACAAAAGCAAACAGCAACAACAAATAGTAACAAAAGCAAACAACAACAAACTGCAGCAACAGTAACAACAACAAATTGCAACAATGCACTGCAACAGCAAGGAATTGCAGCAACAACAGCAACAAACTGCAGCAACAACAAACAGCAACAACAACAGCAACAACAAGCTATAGCAACACCAACAGACTGCAGCAACTACAACAACAGCAAACAATAACAACAGCTCAGTAAACAACAGCAACAACAAACTGCAGCAACAACAATGGCAGCAAACGACAACAAAAAACAACAACAAACTGCAACAACGAAGTGCAGCAACAACATCATAAGCAAACAACATCAGAAACAGCAACAACAAACAGCAACAACAAAGTGCAGCAACATCATAGCAAACAACATCAGAAACAGCAACAACAAAGTGCAGCAACAACATCATAAGCAAACAACATCAGCAACAACAAACAGCAACAACAAAGTGCAACAACATCACAGCAAACAATATCAGAAACAGCAACAACAAACTGCAACAACAAACTCCAGCAACAAGATCAGCAACAACAAATTGCAGCAACATCAAACAGCAACAACACCAATAATAAACAGAAACAACACCAACAACTAACAACAAACAACAACAGAAACAATAATCAACAACATGCCGGTTATGTGCCAAATATGAGTTATATTTCTTATTAAGTCACTGACTGGTCCGTCGAATTAAATTCGGGAACAACCTAGTGAGCGCAACAATTGCAGTGAAAACACAGTTACAGCAGTGTAGTGATTTTATACAAATCAGGCTTAAGTAAAGCTCAGTACTGGTTATCAGTCAATCAACCATCAAATAGTAAAACAGGAAGTTCAAAGGATAATCTTAATTTAAATGCTGCAATACAGTAATTAATAATGTGTGTCAAAATTATTTTGATTCCTTTCCTCCATTACTGACCATTTATATCAAATATTTATTAAGTATCTTTCAGTAATCATACGGTGTTACGCTGTACCTTATATTTCCTGTACATTATATCTGCTTGTACGAATAGGAAGTGCAAATATCCTTATGGTAAACATTTTTTTTTTTATAACACTATACTACCTAAAGGATTGTATCAAAGAAACATTACTGTACATTTATAAATTTAAATTATATAATTTTATTTTTAAAACTAATTAATTTAATATAACAATTTATTTTTTTCCTTTCAAACTTCATTTTGTAGGTGGCAATACATTAAAATAAGTTTACACTTCTATTCTATTTTGTCTGATAAATTTCAATTTAAAAGAACAATGGGGTGATGATGATCAGTCCAATACAGACAACATCATCTTTGGTACATAAAGCATGCTTTCTAAACAATAACTACTGCAATGTTACCCAATAAATCACTAAAAGCATGCTTTCTAAACAATACCTACTGTAATGTTACCTAACATATCACTAAACTGCAATTATTAACAAACAATGGTCAGTTCAACAATACTAACACCAACAATGCACTAACCAAACAGCCCAACAACGTCAGCACTAAACAAATGTTATTACACTGTAGCAGGATTTAGTGCTAACCATTTCAAAATGTCATGTTAGGTAAAACTCATTAGAATACTAATTAGGATAAACATTTTTAAAAGGTCAAAACTTTCGATGAGTGCATATGATATGACATTTAATACTCCTTGCAATGTATCATGTAATTTATCTACAATTTAACAAATGTGACATTCTGTGAAAATAAAGTAGTGGAAAGATATATATCGAACCCCAACATGATGGTGTTTTCATCCATTTCAATAAGTAAAAATAGTGTACAATATTTAATTGCAGTAGAGTTGTAGTACAGTAGTCACATAAGCCCATAGAAACCACATTGTTATTATTATGACTAGAACTATATAGCATTCACCACAAGAAAAGTTTATTATATTAAGGCTAGACTGAATTGTAAAAGTGCATGCTATTTTAGTGAATCCAAGTGACCTGAGGTACCATGACCGTAGGCTCAGTGACGCGGAAATTAGCACTGCATTTGATGGCGTGTATGCATGCACAGGCCTTCTTCCTACCTTCCTCCGCTAGACGGAGTTCCATCTCCTCAAAACTTATCTCTCCCTGCACACCAGTGTCAAAGGGACCTTCATAGTAGCAGACAAAATGGCAGCAAATTGAAAAGGAAACTTGATTATTAGTCATACTTTCGAGCCAAAATTGGCTGAAGTGAAACTTGCACTTCACCTTAAAAACCAATTGACAACAGGCCAACAACACTCAGACTAAACACTCAATGACAAAGCATTTTTTTTCCTATCTTGTGTAGAAAAATTCAACTGGTAATGATACTATGGAATAAACAATGCTATAACTGAAAAAATTTATAGTACTAAGAAATACAGTTATCTAGCAATTAATTAACACTTTATGTACTGGTAGTATTGTTTGCAGTATCTATATAAATAAATAAAAAATGTTTGTTGAATTGCAGTATTACTATGCTTTATAGTCAAGTAACAAGCTTCTCATAGCCTTATGGGTTGAATACAATATCCTGAACAATCTGAATTTATGTTTATTGTCTGTCTATTTTTAGTCATGTAACACCTAAATTTTATTGTGTCTTTTAACATTTCTTGTAAAGTTAAGTTATATCACAATTTATTTTGTTTTTCCGCCTGCCAGCTGTGTGTGCACTACACTGGTATGTTAAGTGCACGTGTTAAACAATGTATGTGACTTATGAGCAAAGAACAGAGCTGCCTTAGCGCGTGAAGAGCGTTTGCGCGATGCCTTTGAAGTCTAATGTGTTCCCCGCCACCAAATGCTCAGCAGGTTTAGTTTAAAAAGTTGAACATGGCAAAATGGAGAGCACCTTCATTTCTCAATGCACACTACTTACAGACAATCACTATGGCTGCGCAATAGTTTCCACCTTGATGCTAATACATTTATCTTTCATGAAATGCCATACATATTAATATTTCCACAAAAAAAGAGTTTCAAATTTAATGGAACATTTACATGAGCTTTAAAAGTATGGTATATTTCAATAAATTGGATAAAACTTGATACTCTAATGTTAACAGATATTAATTAAGGAATGATTGAGGATTATAATAAAGTCATTCATTTTAGTGTAAACGAGTGTGGACTATTTGAAAATTCAATCCAAAGTCAGAGTAATTTTCAGTTTTACGCTGCCTTAGCCTTTATAGACGAACTAATCTATCATTAGACAACATTTTAATGAACACAGAAGTAATTGTAACAGAAATATTTTGTGGAATCTGTTCCTAAAATACTAAAAGTCAAGAAAAAATCCAATCAGGGGAACATTGTTAATTTTAAAGATATTTATTGGTTTATCGCACAACTACCATGTTTGAAGCGTATAAAAGCATGTCGTTGCCAAGTTGTTGCTAACGAAAAAATGTAAATAAGATAATACGCCCACGCGATCCAAAGGTGGGGAACACATTAGTTTGTCGCGCCAAAGGGATCTGATGCTGAGTGATCTCCCTCTCAATAATACCTAAGAAAAATCTATATATAAATGTAACACTTTTTTTCAATATAGTGCTTTAATAATGATAAAATTTCTTTTTTGTCATTTTAAAAATTAAATTAAAACTAAAGATTTTGGTTGGGCACCTATATGTGGTAGTCACAGATTTGCACCAACACACAAGATAAAAACATTATCTGTTTAACCCAGCTAACTCTCATGTGAGTCTTAATTCAAGTAGCTACATTAAGATCCAATCCCAAATCTTGACATTCTAGTCATGCCTTAAATCTGGGTATACAGTGTAAGATGCAGGAACCTTGCCACTTAGCCAAAAGCTTAGCTAAACATGCACTTATAAATAATTATGTATTTATTGAATCAGCTGATTTCCATGATGATTTAGATCCTCGTGTAAAATTTGAGTATGGTGTTTTAGTAGTGATCAAGCAAAACAAATTCCCATTAACATAGACAATCTCAGAATAATAAAATCCTCCATTAATCATTGACATAGAGCTAAACCCCTTTATGACATAAAGATAATAATTATGGTTTAAGGTTACAAAGTTATCTTCTTCATCAATCACTGGGCACATAACCTTACATTCTCCATTAGGGGAAGACATTTTGAGGTTAAAATGTTCATCTTCCAATCCAAAGGGCCAGGGTTCAAATCCTCTAATACTCTAAATCCCTGTACAGACTGTCAAATGTTTTTTGACAAAAACATGTGACATGCCTAAATATGGTCATTATGACATCACATATGACTATATATGGGCACAGCATGACCATATATGACAAAAACATGTGACATGCTTTAATTATGACATCACATCATAACTATATATAGGCACATCATGACTTTATATGACAAAAACATATGACATCTAAATACGGCCATTATGACATCATATCATGACCATATATAGGCACATCATGACCATATATTGTTTTGTCAAAGAAAATTTGATAGTCTGTAAAGGGCTTCAGAGTTCTTTTCTCTACAGTGAAATACAACAGCAACTCAACCCTGTAAGTAAACTTAACCATGACACTTTCATTTATAATTGGGGAGTGCACTTACTGAAGAATGATAATGAAATGAAAGAGTTTTTAAGAGATTAATGGTACATACAAATCTACCTGTAAAAACAGTATAAATAAAATATCTATTACATCTAAATTTATCATTCAGGGACCTTTAATGAGAAGGGGAAAATATTATATGATCTTGATAGCAGAATATGATGATGCAACTGAGGCCCTGTGGGTATTAAGTAAGGTTCAAATTTAAATTGATCCACCATAGTTATGAAATTTTAAATCTGATGGATTTTGTATAATATGTCAAAATAAAAATATTTCATAGTAATAGTTATCAAGATTAATTATCCCCACCTTCTTCTGCTGGAAAGAACTCTTCTTCGCCTGCTCCAAAATCATCATCTCCAGTTAACTCGTGACCTAAATTCTCTGACAAACCTACAAAATAAATTTTTATTATTACTTTAACTACTGTTATAAGTCTGTTCTGCCTTTCGGTTTGGCTTTATTTTTAAAATATTATAATGCCAATTTCAAGCATTTGAATAGCACGTCCACAGTCAGTGCCCAGCAGCACTAGTCACCAAAATGGCTAGCAAACTATTGAGTATGGATTTGTGGCCTCTCAAGAGAGGTCTTTAAAGTATAAAAGAGGCCCTGCAAATGAATTATAATTATGCAAGTTTCAACATGTGGTTGGCAGCATAAGTGGCTGCCTGTATAGGTGGTTGTCTGCATAGCAGCTAAATGATGAGATTATTATGTACCACTATCACAGCTTTTTGAATCACACATGTAAAACATGGGGAAAAAACCCAAAAAAGATGTTTTCTAACATCGTTAAATATTGTCTAAAGGGGCCATATGACGTCATTTGAATTGATTGGTCAAACTATTTTGTTATCGTATACACGATGAATTGTTATCGAATCGTCCTAGTTTAAAAACTTCTCTTATCTCTTTTATTTGCTATGAACAATTGCTTTTTAGCTTTTTATATAGTTATCGTTGCAAGTATAGAGAAGCCTTTCATGACAATCCATTCATATTGCCACCGACAATCAGCAGACAGTGTCACCTAGCAGTCACAGGTAGTGCGGTTGGATTCGCCATACGATGGTCGTGCAATGCAGTGAGTACCTGGCTTTAGGGCTAGAGTTAGACTTGAATAATCAACACCCCATGAAATATGACCTGGACCCTTTTTTGGACTCTTTCAAAAAATATAGTTTTACACTATGTGAATACAAGATCTAGTTGCAACCCTACTGATCCATTTCAATAAATATTTTGTAAGTCTCTTACATACCTGATGGTGTTGGCAACATATCAGAATTGTCTGTTAGCCCATTGATGGGATCTGCCTCATGTGGTACTGCACTATCATAGTTCCCATTTCCATTGGCTGATGGTAATTCACTTGTGGAATCAGGAGTAGAATCCTCAACATTGAAGCCAAATGATGCACTACATGTGTTAAAAAAAACACCAACCAATCACAGGTGAATACATAATATTGCATAAATTTGAAAAAAAAACCCAAATCATTTAATAAAAAAACAAAACACAATCAGTGAGATTTACGTGGATAATAAAACAATAAATCAATCAATTTCTTTATCCAAGCCAATTGAGTCAATTAATAAACAGGATAGAATAGACATGAAAACATATCCACTACAAACAAAATCAATTAGATTCATTATCAAGAAAATCTGAACAAGAGGATTCCATATAATGTCAGTAGCGTCCAAATAAATTGCTGTCTGATGTAACACACAGTTCCGGTCGAGAAACAATATATGGTCATGTAATTCAGACAAGAAGGCATGCTTTAGCATTTTCAATCTTACATATCCTCTTGTGAAAAAAGGAGAGAGGAATATACACAGGAGGTTCTATAGCTTTCTTTAAATGATACTTAGCAAGGGTCATCTGAACTAGGAAGCATACATTAAGGTTAAGACATTTTAGATGAAGGAGCTACAGAATATAAATTTTAATTTAGACTTGTTCACTTTAAATTTCCGGATTATGTAAACTTTCTTGTTCCCTTTCTTAATTAAGATTATGACATATTTAATCCCAGTTAATGTTGTCCTTGAACGTTGATCCATGGCATTAGCCATTTTTAAAATGAGATAACAAAACTTGAAGTGGACTGGTTAACATCCAGGTAAGTATTATGAAATGGCCAATTAGTGTTGGTTGTTATTAACATCCTAATTTGATTTATATTTTAGAATACGAAAACTGCTCCGTAAAGGTAACCATTTTCTTTTATGGACGTAACCAGTCTATATTTACTAATAATTGGAGATGCGGTCTGACAAATTAGAATATATGCATAACCAACATCCTCATTCTAGAGTGCTGCAGCATCCCCTCAAGAATTATGAACAAGAACATAAAAGTAAACTCTGAGACACCATACCTGTCTGACTGTTCAGGTGAGACCCGTTTCACTTCAACATGATCAACTGAATTTCCTATATCTTGAAGATCGAACGTTGATGAGTTTGCGATTCTAGGAGGAGAATTAGCAATAGCGGACTTTGTACCAAATGGATTAAAGTTTGCCAACTCCTCTTCGGTCATATCGGCAACAGATTTACTCGCATTTTCACCCCTCGGAGGAGAATTAGCCACACTTGCCTTGGTACCGAATGGGTTATAGTTCGCTAATTCTTCATCAGTCATATCAGCTATGGATTTTCCTGCCATTTTGTCGTCTGCTTTCTGACAAGGTGTACCAAGGACATAGGCAGTATGCTGGTTCTCTTTGTCTTCTATGCCAATAAGAAGATCTACCGGTTGTTTTTGGTTTTGCTCCAAAGAATCTTCTTCTTCCCTGCAAATTTTACATATTTATCGAGTGAAAATATGAGGCAAGAAAAGGCAGGGTATTAGTGACCTACTATTAACCAACTCAACATAAGAAAACCAAAAAAAGAGTAAAATATTAAAAATCCTTTGAAACATAATGCATATTTACATCCTTATGACTTCAAAAACAATGATTTTAAGAAAACATTTTGTACATTTTAACATGAAAAGTTCATTGCATTCTGTATTATTATAAACGAGCAATTAATTATTAATATTTTGTGTACAGAAATGTTATGAAATGTATGTCATTGTGTAGAAACTTGTTTATTTAATTAATAAACAATTCACATCACTCTCATAAATTAAAGAATCTTTGAGTTCAAACAGAGTTTAATCAAATGGATATTTATTTATACACACTACCCAGGGTAAATTATGATGATCACCTTATGGATGCATGTCCTAACAATAATGTCAAATAACTATGTACCTAGAAAGGATCTATTCTTCTTAGCTAAATTATTTGAATATTTTATTTCACTTTTTTAAGCTGTTTTGGCATGTATTTTAATTTTATAATGTTTGTTAAAGGCAGGCTCCTGAGGAAAACAGTTTTTCATAGTTAAAAACTAGGGGAAATAAAGGGGTGTAACCACCCATTTTTCAACCTTTCCCTCTTTTTTAAATATTCGAAAATCTGCATCTCATCAACCATTCCAAGCTTTCTGTCAAACACCTTTTTTTTGTTTACATTTTTTATCCTAAATGACTGGACATGCCTAGCAGAGTACCGTAGTAGGGAGCTCTTACCTAGCTTAGCTAAATTAAAAGGCTAGGCCAAGGAAATAAAGTTTGGCGTCAAACTTTGATCATCGTCTTTAAAGTTTATTCTATAAACCCTAAATCCTACAGGTGAAAAAATAAGAAAGTTGTATTTAAGGCCTACATACAACAGTGTATGCTACTTGATTGTCTATTCTTCTATTAACTTCCTCTATTATGGCAGTGACTGACAGCAGTGTGTTGGACACTGAGCTAGAAAGGATTCCAAGTACTGCATAGACTGCTAATTCTGGAGGCAGGCCTGTCGCCAACATTTATCGTTCAAGATAGGTTTTGGGCACAGTTTTTTGTATTACGTGCAGTCTGTTTAAAATGATAGGAGGTTTGCCAGAACCCCTATAAATCCCCCTGGCTACAGGCCTTGGAGGTAATGTGATGTAATGTCATAGCAGCTTACAGGGCTTACTAAAAGCAATAAAAGTGAAAGTGGAAGATTTGGATTTAATGTTTCCTAGATCAGGTCATCATAAACTTCAACATATTTTCCAACTCATTTTTTGTGGGTTTCCTTCTACTCCTCTCACCACAGGGGATTTTACTTAAATAACAAATAATGGATTACAATATTTAAAAAAAAATAAAATAATAATAATGGTCAACTCATAGAGTGCATTATTATGGAGACTTCTATGCACTTTACATAAATATGAATAACCGTACAAAGAAAGTAATACTTAAACTAATCCTATACTATAAGCATGTTTTGACCGTTGGCTCCGAGAAGTTCATCCGCCCTTTGTTCAGCTATTTTCTAATTGCTGCTAGGTGACCATTCACACTCCCACCCAAAGGCCGCTAAAGCCATAGATGGGGTTGCCAGTTAGTCGCTGGCGATTCGAGTGGATGTATTTTAACATCATAGCTAGGACATCCTAACTACAACTAAACCTAATCTTAACTACCTAAAATGAACTTATTTATAACTCTACCTTCCATACCCAAAATACCTTGTTAGTTCTGAACCTCAAAATTAATTAAGACTTCTAAGTAATTGTCATACTAGCAATTATAATATTCAAAGCGTATTCTATTAAATTAACACGTATTGAAAATATGATTTTAGTCGACTTGCAACCATAACAATTTATCAGTGGATTACAGGAATTAAACCGTTTCCTTTTTCTGCTTAGGGTAACAGTGTACTCAGGAAATTCACCACACCAAACTAAATTACAACTTTTACTTTATTTTGTTTTTATTAATTTTTATATGATGCACCGTTGCACAGGTACTGGTGCGGAAGGCGATGGGTTTTACACACCCCATCCTGTTTAAACCATTCACTTTCACTGGAGTACTAAGCCCATCAATCACATCTTGAACATTGTTAATGTGGAAAGCAGTATATGTACGTTACTCTCGTAAACACACAGTAATTCAAGAAAATTGTATATTTTATTGCTATACATAATAAACATCAATATTTATTATACTAATGAAAATATAGCAAAAACATGTAAACTATTAATATTGATGAGGCAATAACATTTAAGCTATAAATGTTAACTAATTGTGGGATTCTGTTTACCACTTTCGCTCTGTTAAAATTCACTGTTATTTTATGTACTGTAAGCCTTCAAGTTTAAGTAGTAACTTTTTCATGTAAATATTATACTACTTGTATTTTACACTTGTGTACATATGTAAAAATGTACAAGCTATCTTAGGAATATTTTCAACAATTGTTGGACATTATATATTGTTTTTATCTTTCAACATTATTGTAAAACTTTGATGCATTGCATTGTGTGTTTTTTTTCATATAAAGTTATCTAGTTGTGGGATTTTGTTCACCACTGTTGCCTTGTTAAAATTTATTGTTATTTTATTAAAGCTTATAAAGTTTAAGGAGAATTTTTTTATGTAACTGTAAATATTATACTATAGTTGTATAGTCTGTGTACATATGGGCAAATTTTTTGACTTTATTATATTGTGTGTTTATTCCTTCAACATTATTGTAAACATTTGATGGTATTTTGTTGCCCTATGAAATAAATCAATGAACAATAAGTATCTGTACTAGTATATTTGGGGATTCTTCTAATCACAAACAGCTTAAAGATAATAAACAAGAGGCTTGGCACTAACAACCTCTTCTATCTGATTACCTGTTAACAGTTAGAATTGTACAGCAGGAAACAGAGGGGTGAAAATCAATAATTAGAATATCACCTCTATACAGAAATTACAAAGCTGTACTAAAACTCTTACCGTATTGGAAGGTTGTCAATGAGCTCGTTGACGAATTCGTTGGCGCAGTTTATGTAGTCGGTGTGGTCCTGCTTTGTGACAACTTGCACACGTTCTATCCAGCTTTCTTTGTCATCAAGTTCACGTACAAATTCGTACGCTGGATTACTGGGTAGGGACTTGCCTTTGTTAGGTTTCAGAGGGGTCTGAAAAGTGACCTAAAGAGAAAAAAAAAATTAATGTATTTAATAAATCATACTCAATACATAGAATAATTTTAAACCTAATTTAGGTTAAGGCCAAATAAAAAAAAATCATGTTTTTGTCTGAAGCTGGGCACACAAGGCATGACTGACTGTCAGCTGACCAATCCATTTCCGCTCGCTATGGACGCCTGATGACACAACACCGTCTTCAGTTTGTCAACAGTAGTTGGAATGAATTGTCATAAAAATGAATGACGATCAGTTGCGTGCTTGTTGCCGTGTTGCGTTTTATACGAAAAAAGATAATGAACAAAAAATTAACTAAACACAGCATCCACTTCTATTTTATGTATCTTGAGAAAGAATTTCCATTAATCACCTACCCAACAATGGACGGAAGAAGATATCGATATAAAGATAAAAATTAAGTGCTAACTATTTTTAAACATGTATAATAATACAGTTACGTATTTTGTAGTCAAATAAGTAAAGAATATATTTTATGCATTATGGTGCGCTGATGATCAGAAAATGGATGATGGCTTTCCCTCTAAAAAAAATCACAAATAAAATATACTTAAATATATTAAATAAGTAAAATAAATTTTACAATAGAGCAAAATTTTAATATTTAACTTGAAGATTAACTGATCAATAATTTTTTTTGTATGAGAAGGAACTTTCAACATTAATAACGATAGAACAGCTGAAAGGTTGATAACAAAGCAAAAGACAAGAGTTCAGATATATTTGGAGCGTTGTACATCAACGCAGGGGTGCAGAGAACATTACTGGCCCGTAAGGGACCCATACTGGCGGCAGTCAAACTAAAAATTAAAGAACTTGTCTAAAAGACTTCCTTATTTAGTTTCATTTTATACAGTAAGACTGAAGTAAAGCACTAAATATGTAGAATAATTAGAAGATTTGATTCTTTTTGTTTGATTTATGTTAATTACTATCCTGCTTGGCCAATGGGGCAATATTATCTTATGTAAATCAACAATTTTTAAGGAAAACTAAATAGTATAAATAAGACATGACATTTGTGTTGACATTTTTTTTTTTGTGAGAAGTCAAGATGACATACTTAGTAGCATGCACTTTGCCTTAGTAGTTTTAATTAAAATAGTACCTAAAAACAGTACCAGCCCCAATTAACTAATTAGTATTTGTTGCTAATTGATGTTAAACATAGGAGATTGAATACATTTCTTTCTTTAATTTTTCTTAATCCTATTTGTAGATCAGCTCCTTCAAACATTGTAAAGATTAAATTGCTTTGAAACTCAAAATGTCTTTCGCAATTTAAAATTAATTGCTATCTCATTTTATAATTTTTCTGTATCAGAATTTCCAAAATTTTCTTTTTATTAACTCCGAAAACAAACAAATAACTATTTGTTTATGAAATTCTATGGTAAAATCATTTGAAAGGGCATTAATACACAATTTTATATTCAACTTCTGACATGAACAATTTGTTTGATCAAATTTGCAATCCTGGTTTAAATTAAGTGCACATTATATGTCACTATAAATTAAGTTAAGTACTAAATGTGAAAATTACTGAGAAAACATACAATGCAAGAGAGATTGCAATTTTGACTTAAGTACAAGATGCATGAGGCTTGGCTGGTACCATATACTGCTTGCCATATTTTGGTTACTTGTTGTGTGAAACCTTACAGTTACAGGGATGTAGTTATGGTGGGCCGAGGTAAGCAGGGCCATACAGACTTGAGGTACAGTATTCTACTCAGTCTAAAACTAATTTCATGGCCCTTCACCCACCTTTATTAGCCCATTACCCATCCTTAAAAATCCACTCTTATTATTTAGAGTTCACCAAAGTTATCACCCACCCACCCTTAAAATGTCTACCACCCAGCCCTACCGTAAGTTTTCAACAGACAACCCTGCAATTAACTACAAACACACTTGTTGCTTCAACGCAAGTGTAAACTGTTTCTCCAGAGTAACAATCATGCAATCAATGTAGACTTGACTGAAAAAATCATCCCACTTTAATTGTGTCATGTACAATGCATACAAACATGCACTTCAATTAGTATTTATATCTAGTTCATTAACTGTTTGTCCCTCCATGTTGAAAAAATGTACAGGGAAAGAGCATTCTCAGTTGCTGCTCTCAAGGTGTGAAAAATGTTGCCTATATTTGTCAGTGAGTCTCCTCTTGAAAACTTTTAAGAATTTGCTTAAGACTCATGATTTTAATTTACTTTAATTCTTTATTTTTTTTTTGCCAACTTCTACTGCATAGAGGCTTGTGTAAATTATGCCTTATATAATCCCACTTATTATTACTATTATTATTATTTTGTTAGTAAAAATTATAGATTTGGTAAAAGAGGCAATACCTACAAAGGAGCAGATTAATTGTCATCGATGTTGCTGCCAAACAAGGTATTTAGTTCAAATGTGCTGATAGAGTGTCAAGCAGTTAGCAAAGATGGCTAGCTAGATTTCTCATGAAATGTATTAAAAAGAGACAAGATGGAGACATGTCCAGCTGGCTTATATTACAACAGAGCTTCATCAGATTTATTTTACAAATTTAGAAAGTTTAAACTAAAAAGGAAATCTGGGAAAAATAAGATAAACTTCAAGATTAGTCAGATAAATAAATGGTCAATATAGGTCAACAGAATTTTAAATGATCATACGGAAGTGGAAATTGAGGATTGGATTGGTGACTATTGGTTGAAAACAGGAGTTTCAACTCAGAATCAGAGACTGTAGATTAATAAAATATATATGCACTCACATTACAACTTACAGTAAGTTCAGTTGTTTATTCACAAGATATAAAAGATTGGCAATTATATCTTTATTTAATTAATATAACTACAGTAATTAACTGTTAAATGTTCATAGATATTCCATTGATTGCTTTCATGAATTCATTATATTTTGGCAAAAGTGGTAGACAAAAGTTGAAATTTATGCATTCAGGATGGGTTTGGATTATCCCATGGTTTTACTTTTTTTATTTTTAGAAATACTGTAACACCTTAAATTCTATCCTAATTATAATTTTCAAAAAAATATCAGCATTCAAAAAATAAACTATCAATTTATGAATGAAATAGCATTATACATTAAACACACTTATTGCACATTACCAGGTGAGAAAGAATATGCCCACAAACTATGCTTTATTGGAAATTAAAACGACAGGAACAAAAGTAAAAATGCACAAGTTGAGATAGTGGAAAAGAAGTAATTAGTTCCAAAACACTAAGTATGAAGTACAGTAGGAAGGAATGGTAGGAAACATGCTTTCCAAGTATACAGGTGAATAATATCCCATGATGCACTTCTTCATTCCCATCATGCAATATTTCCATCATTCAGTGGCAGTTGAACAATACCTTAACAGGCTCTATGAAAGGGGATTGCGGTGGTGTAGGTAAGTCGAGACTCATCTCAACATCTGGAACCCAAGATTTGGGCTCGGTTGGCAGAAGGTACGACAGTGGCAATGCCTGTCCGCATATTTGGCCACAGTTACAATCGAGACATTCTTCCTCATTTCTTTCATTTGACAGATCAGTTTGACTCTTAGATATACTTTTTGGTTGGAAATCACCCTCATTGTATAATACACAGTTCATATCACATGACCTCCTGATAATCGATGGACTAGTCAGTCTCCGGCGATCTGGATAATCTTCTTGTGTTCCAAACCTTTCCAATGATTTCTGTTTTTTTAAACTGTTGATAGCTAACAGTTGAATCGTATCCTCGATATTTAAGGAATTGCGTCGATCCACAGACAAATCAGAAGAATTATCGTTTTCGGATGTTTTTAACTTCTCGTCTATAACATCCCTGTTACACGAATTTCCAAATGCGAAATTATCTATAGTTATTAAGCTGATGGTATCCTCAGAAAATTTGTTTTTAACCGATTCAATCAGGGAGTCAACATTCATTCCCAATGAAAAGGTGCCGGATTCCTCAAAAATGTGTAATGATGATGTTTCTGAGTACGTATCATAAGGCGATTCCTCGATGTTGTACTCTGTTAAACTTTCATTCTCGTCTGCTTCTTGAGGAATTACGGAAAATTCGACATCGGCCGAATGGCTTCGTTTCATGACAGGCTTATACTGATGTTGTATTGTTGGCCGATTAAACGATATGGATTTCTTAATGTTAATTAATTTTAATGTTTTCTTCATTCGGGAAGCTTTCTTGTGGTTGATCTGATCCCCAGGAACTTGGTCAAGCGAATCACCAACTGACCTTGCATGTTGGCGGCTTCCTGCAAGCCGCGCATTCCTTGTTGCAGTAACATCAAGCGCCTGCCTTTTTTCACGAGATTGTACATCACCCATCGTTACTAAGATAATAAAACATTTTATTATATTATTATAATTATTTATATTATTTAAGTGCCTTTTCTTTGTAAATATGAAGCACTTCTTTTCCCTAGTCACTGGATCCACATGTTTAAATGATGCTGCTGGTAATCAGCGCAGGAGCAGGCAACCCCACAAGGTACCCATTTATACTGCTGGGTAGAAAGAAGCAATGCAGATAAAGTGCCTTGCTCAAGGACACAAGCGAAATGTACAGCAAGGGATTGAAACCCCGAAATCGGGGTTGGGAGACCAAACAGTTTCCACTGCTTCAAACCGTTTCTAATAATTCTTATAATATTTTATAATATAAAAACAAAAAAAGAACTGCTAGAAATAATATTACAGAAATAATGTATGGTCATCTAAACAATAGAAATAAAATGAACCTTTTCAGGATCTTTGCTTTTCCTACCATATACAGTAGGTTTACAAATACTAAATTTACAAAACTATATATTACTTAACTTTAAAGATTAAATACTAAATTTATGTTCTATGGACAAATGTCTACAAATTCATGTTCTAGTTTGTTCTATACAACGATAATTTTCTGTATTGTACAGTATCCCAGACAATTTGTACAGCACTGTTCATCACCAGGGGTCCTAGTCACCCGGGAATCAGGATGGCCTCCAGCACTCCTGCAAGTAAGCAATAATCTCCCCGAAAATAAATAAATAAAATCTCCTACAAATTCATAATATTTGTATTTTTCACCACTTCATTATCAATTGTCTCATGGAAGTCAGTGGTGATGGGTATCATCATTTGTAGCAATATAAAATTAAATGTGTTGAAAGCTCATTAATCAGATTTTGCAGACGAGATTTCTTTCAACTTGGGACCCTTTTGCATCACACCTCAAAATGTCTGAGCAAAGCTATATTTACAGTACTAGACACGATAATGACACAATGACATAATTTTAGAAACCCAGAAAAAAAATCACTATTCAAGTAGTTCAAGGTACATTTTGTTCTGATTCACACAGGAATTCTAATCTTCAAATTACAGGTTTAGATCTTGGAGAAGATCAAATTTATTTAATTTCTGTCTTTACTAAAATTCTAAATTCAATCTTTAAAATGCAATTACAAAACAACATTGCCAGAGGCTTCTCAACAAATTGTTTTATTATAAGCCATTCGAACTGCAAGCTCTTGATAATTCACAAAATAAGCGACTTTTGTATTGCTTAATTGATGTTTGACCATAATACACTAACATTGTAACAGGTAAGATCTAAAACAATATTTCTTCCTAACCTAACAACTGTCAGAATTGTACACATATTATGAATTTATTATGCAACAGTTTCAGGCAGATAATGTAAAGATAGTGTTTAATTTCAGCTGCTATCCTTCTCTCATTCTTTGATGGAATGTGCCCACCTAACTACAGACTATGACATGCCATAAGTTTGGGCCAGAAACAGAGATCTGATAATACGCCTAAAATTTAACAAAAAACCAAACTTACAATTGACTTGACAATTATTAATTTGCCTTCTTCAACCATTAATTTATCTGCCGTTTATTAAAAATTAAACCTAAATAAGCATTAATTAGAAGTGGTCATTTGTCTCATTGTGAAGACCTTTGCTTAGTTTACTGAAAAAAATCAAAATGTATTAATTTTGAAATAATTATTTAATAAGCTTAATATTGAAAGTTCAACTGCATTATACATACTGGGTGGTATTAGCTTCAATATGGTGTTATTAATACATACCATTTTGCACCTGGGAAGCGAAATTTAATTAACAAAACATTGGATTTAACAATAGTACTTAACACACCATGTGAACGGATTTACACACCTGATTTTAAGAACTTTGCACTCATCCCCAGCATTCCTTCTAAACATAATCAATTTCTGTTACCAGACAAATTTAGATCATTTAATTTTATTTAAATCCCAAAAAGTAGACTAATGTACAATAATTAGTAACAATATAGGCCTAGTATTCAATGTTTGTTTATTTTAACACCTATTCCATGGTAACTATCACTGAGAACACTCAATGAAAATACAATTGGTTCCATTGTATGACCATGGAATCACAAGACACAACAGTCGAGCATGCATGCCAATGCTATTGCATGTGATTTTCTATTCTTTTAAAGATCTAAAATCTAACATTATTTAAAAGTGAAATCTTCTATTTTTGAGCTAATATACTTGGGCAATAAAATTCATTGTTTGCTTACTGTGTATATTCACATAAGCTTTTAGCTTTCAGTTGAATATAATGAGAAAATATATTCATCGCCAATGAACAGATGCAGAACTAAAAATAGTGTCTACATTCTTTCCAAGTCTATCAGTTATTTTATGTACTTTAAACTGAAAACATGATCATTATAAATGTGTTGAATTTTAGCATGATAATTTTATGGATTTCTATGCATTATATTTCTGGTAACAGTATTGGATATAATCTTAAAGATTTTAAAATCAAACTCTAAATTCTTTAATTTTTTCTTTTACCATGAAAATCCCATAATTCAACTGGGGACATTGAATAGAGTAACTGTGCATACCTTTTTATTATTTACCGAGAGCAACGGTGATACCAAGATATTCTCCTTTTGCGACGGCTTCAGAATTCCGGACTGTGAAGGAACCAATGGAGATGGCAAGCTATCAATATCCTCTTGGACGGGTAACAACGGAGTCTGAAGAATGTCAATATCAACTTGAGTCTTGCTAATGCTATCCAACGAGTGGAGAGGTGAGAATGGATTACTGTTCATAATGTACCTGAAATTGATACCAACAACCAAAATTATTCAATCAATTAAAGAAAATTATCATTTTAATATCATAATAATCAGTAAATAGTAGAAAGTGATTTAGATGTAAATGAACCAGGAAGTATAAAATTTACATACAACAAAATGTTATAACATAATCTTGTCGATGCAATGTTTTACAGTACAGTAGAACATTTATCAGCAAAATATAAACAATCAACAATTAGGTTAGATTATCTTTTGTTTTGCCAAAAAGGCATCATAATACCATCCAAAATGGGCATTCCTTAATGACCAACTTGATGACTAAGATTGGTGAATTCTTAACTGAAAAGTAATTAGATGAATCTGATACTTTCAATTGATATTGTACTTGCAGGGAATACCACTACCAGTGGAGAAAGTAGAAAAATTTCTCAATGGGATTACATATTCAGATCAGGGAAAAAATAGGGGCCATATTATAACAATCAATGAAAACAAATAATAAAATGGGTAGTAGTGCCTTGTACAAATATTTATTTGAGACACATGGTTTTACTATCTCAACAGAGCATTTGTTCATGATATCAGTAGTACATCATGTCTATAAAATTACACTATAGTTAATCCATTATATATGCTACTGATAATGATATTTAAATGTTTTCCTATACATTAGGCCTAATATACATATGTTCCAAGCATACAATAATTAATATGGCACCTATATCCTGAATGTTAACAGTGCTCTGTACTTTGATTTTTAAAAAAACAGCAGATTTTTAAAAGTTGATTCTTACACTGATATAATTATAACCTGAAAATATATATTAAAATCTGAGCAGGAATAATTTTCACTTTTAACCATAAAACATAGCAGCTGTAATGAGTCATAAATTTACGAGATTATGTAAATTAGTAAAACATTATTCAGCAGATGAACAAGTGTTTAAAAAAAAACTGTAGTATCACAAAATATTACCAGCACATCTTTGTATTAAAAATGCATTTAAACTGATGAAATGGATCACTTCCTTCCTATACATCCCATTTAAAAGCTAGGGTAAAGGTTCTGTACCAGTAGTTAGTATCATGATAGCAGTAGGTGATTGCTGGCCTATGTTTTGAAAGGTAATCTGGGAAGACTTCAGACCAACAAGTAGCCTTCGTTTAGCTGAAACAATTGGTTAGTACAGAGGTCAGAATTAGGACAGTTACTGTTGGCTCTGGGTTTGTCTAAAGTGGGTCAACAGAATGCTTGGGACCTCACTTGGAATACAAGATGGAATATTTACATAAACTAGAAATTGCAAATTGCAAGTGAAGTGCTGCGAAGTACAAATGCATAAAATGTTCTTCGAACAAAATTATTTATGCGAGTCAAGTGAAAATAATGAATAATAAAAATATAACAAATAATATGAGAACGACCCATTGTCTATATTTAGAACAGCGTTGGTACCGTGTACAATAGTGTTTTGCTGCAGTGACATCTCTCTGCTGGCGATGACTCGCTGCTGGCGAATCGATCTGCGCATGTGTATAAAATGGTATTTATTTCCGAAAACACTATGCCAGTCTACAACAAGCGTCGCCTAAATGTAATAATTAGCATGTTGAAATAGGTTAGTAAATAAGTTTAACTGGGTTCGTAAATAATATTGGCCTCAAAATATTGTGGCTGAGACATGAGCCGATTAAACGTAGAAATAGGAAACCCAGAAATATAGTAAAAACGCTGAATAGTACTCCAGCGTCGCGACATGCCGACGTTGGTACGAGTAGGTTAGTCTACAAACGTCGCCTAAAGTAATTGATTTTACGCGGCAGAACGAAAGAAGGAAACTCCGCTTTTCAGTTGTCTTAGGCGATAGTTTTTTGACAAACAATGACCTTTCAGAGGTCAAATTGCTGTCAAGAATATGAATTGGCTGCTTCGCAGCAAAAATTTAATGTTTTGATGTCTTGCTATGTCACATGTGATATAGATAAAGAGGCTATATTCATGAATAAATATATTCTTATTTTAATGACGCCTTCCAAAATATATTTCCCAGAAAGTAGTGTCCAACTTAACCGACCAATCAGAATGTTTTTAATAGGTGTGGCACACATGCATCTCCTACAAACACAAATTTATTTTGCACTTTATTACCGTCATTTTGTGGGGCCTTAGCAACAATATCCAAGGGGTGGGGCTTAATGGAACGATCCATTAAAAAGCAGAGCAGGTAATTTTATGGACCTTAATAGTGTTTTGTATCATATTTGGATAATACAGAAAACATGAATTAAAATTTTTAAATTCTATGGGTTACTGAGAAAATATGCAGTGGTCGCACGGGGGGCAGGTGGCATTTGCCACCCCGTCGGACAGGCCTGGACTATCCTGCCGTCCGACGCCACGACTAGGTCAACGGATCGAAAAAAAAAAAATAATAATTTGCCTCTCCAAATAACATTATTTTGATTGCTAATCCCTAATATTGAGGTCTAAAAGCACAATTTGGAGCATTCTACAGTACTGTAAGCCATAAAAATTCTCACTGTGAACCCTACCAGCCATCAACTGAGACTAGTTGGCCCTTGGTTTAGACCCTCCGTCGGACCCCTTGTCGGCGAATTTCTTTTTCAAATCAGAAATATTTAATTATGAATTACAAGTTGACAATAATTGCCGAAATAATGTATAAAACAACAATGATAGAAAAATGAGCAAGAAAGCAGTCTTCATTCGTATCATTCAAATACATTTTTAAAAAAATTATTTTTTAATTAATGACAATAAAATTTTGTTATATTACATAATAGGCCTAAATAAATATAGTCATAGATGATGACAATGATACCATCTATTATTATTATGAGTATTAATAAACTAAAAATAAGATTGCAAAACTGAAGTCGAAGGTGGTTTAAGCCAGCTTCGCTAATCAACACCTTGAATTTACTACATAAAACGTTGGTACAATCTGTGTATAATTATATCCACGTCCTAAAAAAACATACTGTGTGGAAACATGGAATATACAAGTAACATATGCCTAGGCTCTTATTTTAAGTTTGCCTAGTGTCTAGCCTAGGCACTCCTACCTAGAGGCCTGCCCTAATCCAAGCTAGCTGCTAGCCTAGGCTAGGTCTAGCATACATGCTATGCGGCCAAAGTTCAAGGGCCTAGCCAGAGCTAGGCTAGCTAGCAAGGCTGGCCAGCCGCCTAGCCGAACCTGAGTGAGCATCTCACAATGCCAATGGTGTCCCAACAATTCATAATAAATTTCCAACTAAATGATATACCGAAATTCGAACCCTGATTAATGGAAAAATAGCCATTTCTAATTTAAGAGATACACAATGTTTAAAATGCCATCCAGTTTTTCGTCAATATAGAAGAAGCTATGTTTTTGTTATTTATTATGCGAGCGACACCAAGGCCCAGACAAATCGAATCGTCGAAACCCGGGAACGGGATACACGTCATTGGAAATCGCCCATTTTTCTCGTCAGGCCGTCATGGAATTATTGAACGATTGTGTCCGACATACCAACGAAATTAATTTATCATAATCTACTGTGTCTGAAGTAAATATATGTCGAACTTACCCTCTCGGTCATGTGAAATATGTTTCGGAATCGGGACAGGGTAGTGGCCTCAGCCGAAACAGTACATCGCAATTTCAAATACATGACCGTTTTCTTCTAGTTCCCACCGCTTATTGCGCATGGTCAATCTTGTGAGGAGGATAAGATTTTTGCGAGAGAGCGATTCTCGATTGTGATTGGCTAGCTCTTTCACTCACTCCCAAATAAAGCATAAATTTATTACTGTACATCAACTGTACATTAATTTTATTTTATTAAATCCCATCGAATATATAGCGGTGTGTAGGTGATCTACAGCTTCTGTATAATGGTTGTGTGTTTTAACGACTGTTCATATCAATATCTAGAATCCCTATGGGATTATGCTCAATTTGAACAGTGTTATTATATACGATCAAGGAATTTTATCCAGAGTTATAAAATAATATACTGTACCTCCTCCTGTTCTGGTATCTGGTAGGTTAGGTAAGTATTAAAAAAAACATATTTCTCTATAGTATAAACATGGAGGACCTCCATGGTATAAATAAGGTAGTGGGCGGCACTACACGGAAGACTAAAATGTTAGGTGCGTTAACCGTACCCGTCGATGGATGGAAAGTCACTCGTTACGTTGGAGAACAAAAAAACAAAACAAAAAACAAAAAAAATTTTTTTTAAATCACGAACGGTCGGAACAAGTCGGCCTAACTGTGATATAAAAACGACATTATTTTTTTTTTCTCTGGTTTTTTCGCAGTATTCTCATGGGCAGATCCAGAGAATTTCTGACGGGGGGTAGGGGGCACAAAATGAAGTTCAAGCTGCTACGCCCACCTCAGCCCCACCATGGTTGGTGTAAATAGGCCTGTGGTAAATAATCGAGCTCTCCTTTCGCCCACTGCTGGATCGCCTCTGAACTTATGGGTGCAATCCTTTTTTCTTCTTTTCTCTCTTTAACTAAAATTTTTCTTCCCCTTTTTTATTTTTCGATTGACTGATGGGGGGTGGGGGTGGGCACGAGCCCTGATTCTATAATTGTTATGGTTATATTATGGCCGCGTTTCTCTAATAAAAGCCAAATAACAAGTTATATTTTAATGGTTAAAATCTTACTCGTTTCTGCTAAAAACTACAACACAGCAACGGTGTTTTACGAGCCTTTGATTTCCGTACGTACCACCGAATATTTGACCATTTGTATATAACCCTGGTTCTTAACAGCAAATTATTCTGGCCCGCGAGAAAAAAATTGAATTAAAAAATATATATTTAAAGAAAATAAAATTAATACCATTCGATGAATATTTTTTTCAATAAAGTAAAAACACACACTGGGGCAATGTGAAGTAGGCATACTCCCCACCCAGGTCTAGAATTAAATCCGTTACCAATCAACCGACAGACACCGAAAGGTTGGTAGTCTTAATTCAACTAAATATGACATAGCAAATTAAAGATAAAAACTTTATCAGAGACTTGTTTTTATTATGAGTCCCGATTTTACAGGCAAACTGCTTTTAGGTTTTAAAGCCTTGGTATTTGTTGGTGGATATAGGTGAAATCACAGAGAAAATACCGATTGTCTGCCCGGTACTATGAACAAACTTTGCATGGCTGATAACAAAAATACTGTGTTTACAATATGCCTGTAACTTCATGTTTGGTTTGAAAATACTCTTACAGGATTACTATTACCAGTCGTTGTGTGGACGACGTCCGATCAAGTAACAATATTGGTTAAGTGTAAGAAGCAACTTGTCAATACAGAAAAAAATATCTAGTACTGTGATAGACAAATAAGCTCCGGTCAGGAAACGGTACTTAGCCCACAGTTACACTCAAAGAAAAGTAGACAAGTTCTATTACCAGTCGGCAACAGCAATACACTTACAGCGACCCTGAAAAATATTTTTGGCATAAAAATGATTAATTTTTTTATTTCAAATCTGTAAGCCTGCTTATTATTAGGCCCATGCAGCTATTTGAAGACTGCTTTAAATGAGGCACCGTCAGTTACCATGCATTTATCATGCTAAGTACGGTACCGTTAGTTCCCAAAAAACTCTAATATTGGGAGGATTGTAATTAAGTTAAGTGGTGGGGCCATTTGCAGTCTTGCAGAGGCAGATTCCCCGTCAGAGAGAGCTCTCTCAAAGAACTCAACACATTCGTTAGGGGAAATATATGCAACTTTTACAAAATATGAGTAGGGTCTATTACGGGGGCCTAGTATTCAAAATGACTAAATTGAGCTTCCGGGATCTAGCCCCCGCCCCGGGACCCCTTCAGAGGTCTGGGACATCGCTCCTTCCCTGCTGTTGAGCAAATATTTTTTTGATAATTTTACACAAGCAAGACATAAAAGATCATAAGCAAGAAATAGTGAAATGAAGTGTCCTTCGTTTGGTAAAAATATTATATCAATCTAATGAATGAATTTAGTGTCCTAATATTGTGCTCAATTAAAAATAGAATAGAATTTGAAATTGCAAAAAAATAAAAATAAAAAAATAAAAAAAACCCTTAAAAAAAACCCCTTCAAAACGTCTGTGCAAATTTGTAGGGGGGTTCAAAAAACCCCCAAAAATAAAAGGGGTCCGGAGTTCCTCCCCCGTGAAAAAGAAATGAGTTTTCCGACTTTTGAGTTGTCTTTTAATGACTCCGATAATGCGCGGGCGTGGTATAATGAGTTTGCTCATAGTCCCAGACCTTCTTTTTTTCTCTTTTAAATTTGGTAAATGCACCAAATCATATTTGTGGATAATAACATAGACCTACACTGCCATTTATTAAAAAAAAAAAACAAACAAAAAAACAAACAAACAAACAAACAAAAAAACAATTGTTTCTAATAGAGATGAATGCAACAGAACTATTAAATCAATGAATAAATGACTAAAATAACCCTGACAGTACATATCTACTTTGAAAAAATAGCCAAAATGTATAAAAAATATGTATCCTTCCCATTACAGATAAACTGTGGAGGACAGTGCCTGACATGAAAAATATGGGGTATTGAATTACACTGTCACCTTATAAATTTACAGATTATTATTGATTCTAGATTTCTCTATATGCTAAACATAAAGCTAGCCATGTTTCTTCATTGTCTATGGTCTGATTACTGTACTGAAAGCGGTAGGTATTACCCACAGAGTTATATAATACTGATTTTTTATGTTTACGTTACCAAAAATATAGAGAGCTGTGGTGGCGCTGTTTTAAAACCTGGACTTGAACATCCGGAATCCGCATTCACTACGCGCCCTCATTTCGAAAATTGGTGTGTCGGAGGAAGGTCAGGTAATCAATTTTGAATATTTCCTTGTTTTTACAGTATAGGATTGAGTTTTCTTAAAAGTCTGTGTTTTAAATGATATCTTTACCCCCTCCAATACATCTGGAACTATCGATAAGGCTCATTTGACACTGCATATACTAGCTGCTGCTGCAGTGCTGGGCTAACTTCTTGGAGATTGGACCTGATGATCATGGGCATTCACTCAGTGGTGTTTATTGACATTTGACACATGTTTATCACCAGCCAACCCACTGCCTTCTTGAAATCAACAGGAGGTAACTCATTTAGGCCTAGGCCCTAGGCTAGTGCATATACATTTAAAGACGAAAGAGGGAAAATAAACGAAAGTAAACTAACTAACTCCAAAAGAACATGGTAAAGTTGTTGGTAACATTCAACAGGTGAGGCAAAAGTAAACACAAGATAAAACTCTCACGTACTGTAGCAAAAGTGAAGTGAATATATAGTACGTCATATCTTTTACGCAGATCCAGATGTATGCGGCGACCTTCAGCTTCAGTTTCCAATAATGGAAATTTACATTTACTGTAGCTTATCCAGACGTTACTGTACCTGGGTCCGCTTACGACTGTAATACACAAACTTACTTTTTTTTAACCCACAATCTATTCAGTGATACAGTTTTTTTTCTGTGGAGAGTTTTAATACTTATCTTGTGTTTCTAGCTATTTTGACAGTAGTCAGTACAGTGCAAGCCTGATTGCACTACACAGAGCAGTATACCTGTTTATCTTCAATATCGCAATTGCTGCACAGTTTTTTGACTTGTTTGTAAATTTAAACATAGACAATTCAAGATAATCATTATAGGACTAGGTTTAATGTTAATGTCCACGTTGTTTGATGAATATGGTATGAATGATATTGCAGTAAATTCCTGTTTTTTTTTCCCACAACATTTTAATGTAGGATTCCAACAAAATGTCGAATGAAATTGAACACCAGAAAAGGCGACAGATCCGCCACCAGTATCGTAACTTGATTACAGAAACACAGAGTGAGTTTTTGTTCTAAATAGTACTAATACGTCATGCATATTTATTTTTTTTTTACTGGTTGCAACATGAGTGGTCAACTTGAATGGTGCTCTTCCTCAAAAAGTCACTATCATGTTCTATAAGACCAGATTCTCCAGTTTTAATAATTCTGTATGGGTCCAAAAAAAGGACACTCTCATACTTTAAAATTGTTTTTCAAATTTATCAATGAAATCCAATGTTAAGGCCTGTTTATATGATAACAATAACAATAAAAAAGCTAAACAGCAATTTTTCATATAGAAAATAAAAGAAATAAGAGTTTGTACACTAGAACGATTCGATAACGATTTATCAGTTATGTGATGATAACATATTTTTACAAGTCAAACGATTTTATAATTTTTCCATGATTATGATGTCATCTGATTTGATTTTTTTTATATATATAATATTTTGTTATCGTATACACGATAAATCATTTTCGTATCATCCTAGTGTAAAAACTTCTCTTATTTCTTTTGTTTTCTACATGAACAATCGCTTTTTAGCTTTTTTATCGTTATCGTATAAACAGGCCTTAGACCATAAGAGAGGAGAGTAGTCAAAATTTCCAATTTGCATTTAAAGTCTGCAGAATAAGCAGGGCTGGAAAAAATGTGCGGCCGGCGGTTGGAGGCATCAGAAATGTCCTGGGGGCATTTTTTGTGGAGAAAATTTAAAAAAAAAACTGTTGGGCTATATGTACTGTAGATAACAATTGATGGTGGAGGAATGTTATCGTGACAATTTTCATGGTCGGAGGCACAAAGCCTTTTTTTCCAGGCTTGAGAATTAGTAATTATCGTAGTAGTGTGAAGCCAGGCACTTACTGCGCCCACGCCACCGATCGTTTTAAAATGACGATCCGTTCAGACTGCCACCAAAAATCAGCAGACAGCGTTGCGCCGTCTAGCACTCACAGGAAGCGGAGTTGGATTTGTGGTACGATGCGGTGAGTGCCCGGCTATAGGAAGGTCATACTGAATCAGTAAACTCTAACTAGGCCCTTACCGAGGTCAAAATGTCTGCTTGGAGTCTCTATATTACAGTACAAGGTTGGTGTTTGGAATTAACGATGCTTGTATATTTTTCAACCTTTTTACAGAAAACAGTCTTGAATTATCAAACCTAGAAAACACAGGATTAAATGATGCATTGAACAGAGCAAATGAACTCTTTGAAGATGGTAAGTCATCATTATTTGAAAGGCCTAGAACCATAATGATGTAATCCAAAACAAAAAAAATTTCTGACACCAGCAAGTCCAGAGAAGAAGTCTTATTGTCCAAGGTATTTGGCCACCAGGTGCCATTCTCAATGGTAACTATAAATCCTTACGCTGCCACTGGTTTTACATAGTAAACAACGCTTGCTGTTTTATTAACCACTGAAACACATCATATTGTGATCACATTCCTCTCAACATGTTTTCTGAATATGGAGTTTGTGATTGTTTCGAAAAGTCTTCATCACAATTTATATTTATCCATGCATTAGGAAATGTAGCATAACCACAACACAGTCCTATAATTTCTATGTTTTACTATTAATCGCCTTGTAATTTGGTTGCCCGAGAGGTTAAAACAATGTTTAAACATTTATTTTCAGTCAAGGAGATTAAGGGGACCAGGGAAGCAGCGATGGATTCTTCATTCTTAGTAATTGCATCAGCTATTGGGAAGCAGCGAGCACAGAAACTCCACACTGATCTTGTCAAGTTTGATGCGAGAGAATTCATAGAGAAGCTGGTATGTCTACTGTTGTATGCCCATATATAGTGATGATGTGCCTATATATGGTATGTGATGTCATTATGAACGAGTGTAGGCATGTCACATGTTTTTGTCAAATAAAATTTGATAGTCAGGGTCCTGGGTTCAATTCCTGTGACTTCAGAACTTTTTATCATGACTAAAACAACTCCCAATATCTGGGCTCTGTGGAAGACCAGTAGATATCAACTGAACATGCTACCCAGTTTAAAGAATAAGTTTGATTTTGTTGATTTTTGATGGGCAGTGTTATTGTTGGTTTTTGTGTCTACTGCCCCCATGGGGGCTGTAGACACTTAGTTATTGTCTCACCTGTAAAGTGGTGAGAGTAAATCTGGTGTGACAGTTCAAAGTTCATATAGAGGAATTATGGGATACCATTGCATGATAAGCAAAGGATAGAAATTAACAATCTCCCAAACGTAAATCAAGTCTCTTCATAGTAGAAAGTACTCCCCCCCCCACAAAAAAAACAACCCTTTCAATTAGTAGACACGTGCTCCCACCCAATGGGAGCCTATTTTTTTTATTATTGTTATTTTTATTAATATAGCAACATGAATAATAGCTTTTTAGATAGGTTGAAATTTCAGGTAAAATTTTCATTTTGTTCTTGGTTTTTTTCTTAATTATTTTGGTGTGCAGTTTTGCTTCAATTAAGAACCAAACTACCTTGTGTTTATGTCCTGCTAACAATCGTTGTTGTCCTTCAGGTAACTTACATGAGTGGGCGAGCAATGGCACCTGATACTCAAAGCCAGAATAGAAGACACATAACACCTGAGGCATGGAAAGAGCTTGGTAAAGAAGCAAGATTACACTTCAAAAAGGCACCAGCATTTCATTCTTTGTGAGTAGATCTGATCAATATTCCCATCGTTGCCTCTCCTTGTATTTCTGCTGGAGGGCTGAAATACAAGTTACAATAGCACACCGTCTTTCGGATGAGACCTTTAAGCCGTTGGTTCATTTGTGCATTTTTGGCCCATATGCACGTTAAAGAACGCAGTACACTCTTCGGAAAAGAGTAGGTTTTGTCTCCCGGTGTACTGCCCAATCACCGCCAGAAGGACCCCACTGGAAATAAGTCTTCTTCTAGACTTGTGGGCTATCCTTGGTGTTTACACCGAATAAATCCAATCAAATCCAAAGTGCTTACTCATGTACTGTTATGGTGAGACTTTTAATAACTTGTTTTGCGAACTCACTGCCTGCCTATAAGTGTGATTTCGAATAAAAATAAAATTTTATTTTTTGCCAGTTAGTGCACCTGCTGCCATTAAAAATGGAAATTCAGAAAAAAATAAAATTGTTAATTTATTTTTATTATGTCTGCCACAGCCTTGAAATCTCACAAAATAATATACCCTATATTTCGTCATTAATTATATGAATTTAAAGCATTTATCAATCCTATTACTGTTTACATTCACCATTAAAATTTTATTTTTATTTTCTGGATGTTTTTGAAAGAACCATTTCTTAAATGTTTTCAGATTAGGATCGTTTGGACATGAAAAACCGAAGAAAAACCCAAGAAAGAACACGCAAAATAAAGAGAAGGAGATAGGGCCTACAGCAGTACCGAAACAGGTAAATAATTCAGTTTTGCTTGTGTTGGGACCGAGCAAGTAAGCTATTGCGAAGGTTGAAGATAATAATAGGGCCGTTTTTGTTTTGCACAAGCCTGTTTTTAGTATTTCGAATTAGAATTTTACCAAGATGCCCAAAAGGCCAATTTTCAAGCTTTAATAAATTTGATCCCTTAACCATGCTATTGCAGTAAAATTTATTATCCAGTCTAATTATTACTTAAATGCACCCAGACAAATATACTTAACGAAACAATGTTAAAATATTTTTATTTTCCTCCACTCTTATTTTTTAAAATTTTTATTTAAATTTCCTATGGTGCATACCATCGTTTTCATTCTTGTTCTTTCTGGTTTGTGTTTTTAAAGCTCATAGAGATATATGTAGTATGCAAGTGTTCACCATTTTGAATTGACTTATTTTGTTCTAGTTGTCGTCAGTTGTACAGAGTCACCAGGAGGTGACAACAGAAGAAGTGGGGAGGATCATGGCAATATTGAAGCAGTACACATATTATGAAGACGATTCCATGGATAGTAAGTTCCTACATACAAGTATTTTCATACATTCCCTGGATCTTTTATTCCTTCAAAGGTTTTCTCATAAATAGATAGATGTATAAATAATATACAGTTTGCCCTCCAATTCAAGACCACTTTGGGACCTGATAATTTTGAGTGGTCTCGGGGTTCGGTCTCTGCATAGAGGGTTAAATTTGTGTTAAATGATTGACGATTGTTATTTCGTTCTTTGAAAAATTGGTCTCAAATTAGAGGGGTCTAGGAATTAAAGGGTTCTGTAATTGGAGGGTGCACTGTATTACCTCAATTCTTTTTTGCCTAGACCGTTAAATTGGATGGTAATCATATTAATTAAAAGCCTTGATGGTAAAATGTGCGTAAATCAGGGAAAAACCCTCTTTTTTTTTCAGTTGAACCGGTGAGACTGTTTGACTTTGTTGTGAATCCTGATTCATTTGGTCAGACTATCGAAAACATATTCTATGTTTCATTTCTGGTAAAGGTAAATATTGTATGTCAAAACTATTTCACTCCCTCAGCCTCATATATCATACCAAAGCTTGGCCAGACTTGTTTCATTGCCTACTTAACCCCAGTGGTGGGGCCAGGGAGGGAAAATTTCCCCCACCACACACACACCCCTGGACCCCATGCCATCCGTTGATGAGATCGTCTGACCAAAAATATTGATTTGCGTATCCAAATACGTTATGTTGATTGCCAATCCCTAATATTGTGGTCTAAAAGCACAATTTTGGGCAGTACTAAGCCTTAAAAAATCTCCCCATACTGGAAAATATTAACAAATTTCCATGTCTTTTTAAATGCCTGGTTTGATTCTGATACCAACAGCCTCCTTCATGATCAATCATTCCAAAATTATCAAAATAACAATCATCAGATCACCATCGGATCCTGCGTATCACCTAAATTCGTCTGTGACAAATTAAAATATAGTACTATTTATTATCCCCAGGATGGACTTGCTATGATTGAGCTCGACACTGATGGCCTGCCGGTCATTCGGCCATGTGAACCTTATAAGGAAGGTCAAAGCAAGGAGACTATCCATAAAAAACAATTTATGTTCTCATTGACCATGGACAAATGGAAGGTACTAAATAATTCTTACTAATTTTAGTAATAATGTATTCGATCTTAAAGAAAAGGGAAAACAACAACACTTTACAGAGATAAATTTAGATTTTTTTAATATTAAAAAATGTTGTCATTTTTTTGTGTTCTTATATAATTTGACTGTAAATAATTTCATGATGTTGCAGTAGCATACTTATTTTAATACAATTGGATTTTATTAATACAGTAATTATTGATTATGATTGATAATTTTAAAAATAAAATATTATAATGCACCAGTTTCAAAAATGATTTTTTACTTGTTTCAGTCCTTCCACCTGAAACCTATCCACATTCAAAAACAAAGTCTATAAATTAAATCTAATGAGTGTAAATAACAATGCTAATTACTAAATCTAAACATGCCTGGGTGTTACAATTTTTACTTGAGATGTATGCAGAATTAGTAGCAGATGGTTAATGTATTTGTTGTGAAACTGATATTCAGTTAGATAATGATATAGTATAATACTATAATAATTATAGATAGATATTATCTACATGGAATTTGCTGTATGTCTCCACAGGAACTTATTGAAGTATTTGATATAGGACAACCTCTGATACCAACAAGAAAATCGACGAGGTAAGAACAATTTCAATTATCATCTTGTTGTCTAGTATTTTTGGCAGCATCCTCATTTTGGAATCTATATGGGGAAAATGGATACTAGATAATGACAGGGAGGGGGAAGCTAGATTGCAAAATGAGGTGATTTTAACTACAGTAGGGGAGTTTGGAGGAACAAGCTTTGGAGTGGATGGGGTGTGCACCAATTTAGCGTAAACAATTTAGAAATGCATTCTACTCTTCATTTTATTAAATTGATTTGTTAATGAATATTGTAAGATTGTTAATAAATCCATCAATAATCTATTGTGAATAAATGCAGGCCACACAAAATTCTATGAATACTGAAAAAATGTTTGATATGTTATAAAACTGAGTTTTTCTAAGACAAAAAGTATATTTGACAAAAAAAGTTGGGAGTGGTTAACGAGATACAGATTTTTGAATATTTAAAAACTGGAAGAAAGGGTGGTCACACCCATTTTCTCCCAAGTTTTTAGATATTCTAAAATCTGTATCTCGTGGACCGCTTCCGAGTTATGCTTTTGTGTCTAAAGCCTGGCTTCCATAAAAAATACTGATTGGTCAGTTGAATCAGGGAGCGTTTGCGTCGGGCACAGCTAGTGTTGCGACAACTGCAGTAAAAAAAACTGAAGCGAAAGTGTAGCAATTGTATGGAAACTCAGCCTTAGAAAATAATCAGATGTACAACATAAAAAAAAAATGTTTTCCTCTGGAGTCCACCTTTAACTGGATAAAGAAACTTGTTGTTCAGGCAAAAACAACACCCTGTCAGGATATGTGGGTTGTTTTACTGTTCCACTTATTTTCTATGGGTCTTCACTTGTAGTCTGTTTATCTAGACAATGCACATTACAATTTTGTTTATTTCAGGTAAGTGAAGTGGTGGAAGCTTGTACATAAATTTTGAGGGTGCTTCGGCAACGGTAGATCTTCACCTGGTACCTATATTGCGGAAGTCCGTCCTTTTTTCTATTTCATGACCGAAACAGCGACCGGTTTCACTGTGGCTCCCTTGTTCACTTTTATTAAATACTGGATCTGCCCTTGATACAGTAACTTAAGACGAGAAATTTTACCTTGTTTTATACCTTGTTTCGCGAACTCGCTGCCCGCCAAAATTGATGATTTCAAATAAAAATAAAATTTTATTTTTGGCCAATTAACGCACCCGCCACCACAAAAAAAAAGAAATGGAAATTTCAGAAAAACATAAGATTTTCATTATTTTTATTATGCCTGCCACTACCTTTAAGGCTAGGTTCTCACGAGAGCCCTAGTAACGCCCGATCAGTTAGCGCTAACTGTTAGCAAGTGAGCGTGTTTATATCATCAACCAATCACTCGTACGCGTTTACAATTTCTTATTGGCCAGTGATTCGATCATCATATTCTTGGTATCCGGATCAGGATTTTCTCATATGGACGCACGGCCCGGATCCTGCTAACCGTTAGCTGCTGTGTGAGAACATAGCCATTATCTCCAAAAATAAAATATGTATATTTCTTCCATATTATATAAATTTAAAGCATTCAACTATCCTATTACTACACTGTATGCATTCAAAAATAAAATTTAATTTTTATTTTATTTTTTTCCGTCCTCTAATGATCTCTAGGAAAATGAGTTCGCGAAACAATGTATAAAAAAAGTCTCGTCTAATGCTTTTGGTTATGGAATTTTATACTGTATTTAAAGATTGCTAAACTTTATTGTATTTTTTTTAAGTGGTCAGCCTCAAATTACTAATCTTTAAAGCTTCTTCCTCCACATGTATATATGGGCCATGTTTCTAGTTAACTATTTATTAACAAGATTGCAAATATTCTTTTATGATGGTGCAAATATGACAATTTTGTAGTGGGTGCTTCATATGGGCTTGCCATTCCACAACCTGCTAAATGTTGAACTGAATAATTAGCATAAGAATGTTGGTTATTGTATACTTTGCCAATATGAATGACAGCACAATTTATACAACTCGCTTGTTTTTATTATTATTTTGTTAACACAAGTAAAATTCATTGTCTAATGCGGATTAAATAGCCATTTCCATTTTATAATTCCATTGAGGCCTACATTTTTATATCCAGACTTAATACTGAACATGGAAATGTCAATTTAAATATGTCAATTTATATTGTATTATTGTTATTGTATCATGCAGTCATAAACCATAGCTTTTCACATGTAATTCCTCTGGTATAAGCGCCATTTATACCCAGGGAATCTTCTCTTGACAATATGTCCTATAATTTGTAGGGATAACCTATGAAAAGGAAAGTTTTCAACACTGTATGACCAGTATTTACAAGAGTCAATGACAATGATACCCTGGTGCTTAAAGATGGGGGGGGGGGATGTGGGCTTATACCTGAGGAATTATTATATAAACTATAATTGAGGCAAACTATATAGTGAATATTACGTAAATAAATAAGTAGCATTACACTTGAAATCTGGTCATTTGGTAAGGTTTCCTTCATACCAAAATATTTAATCGATTATAACAGGAAAGATCAGTATTTGTTAACTTGCATGGTCCAGCACAACTGAAATGTACTGTGTTTGTTACACATTCAACCAAATTACAAAATGCATACCTTGTTAGATTTTGTTAGCTTTTTGAAATAAAACAAATTTAAAATATACTTTGTTTTCCATCTTCAGTCTCCAACCATGAACACTTTAAATATCTTGACCATAACATGAATTAGGGAGCATTGATTTTTATCAAGGTGGGATGTGTCATTTTTTACTAGGATTTATTATCTATTAAACGTTGGTTTGTTCCAATAACTCGCATTACATTTTAATTACAGGTCTCCCTCTAATTAAAGACACTTTTAAGACCAGTGTTTCCATGGTCTTTAGCAGCTTTGGTCTCTAATTAGAATAATAAAGAATAGACATTTGATAGAAGAGAAAAAAGGTATCTTTAATTAGAAGACCTATATTTATATTGTTTAATAAATCTGTTAAAACTGGGGGGAAAATGATTTCACAGTAGTGCAATATTTTTTTAAAGCCAACAACGAATACATATATTTATAATATAAATCATGTGTGGATATAAATTATTAAACAAGTTGATAACTAGTGTTGTTGCTGTTAAGCTGTCGGTTTTTGCCAGGGTTTACGATCGACACCCTTAGTGCCTGGAGTGTGGGTATAACGACAACTATTTCCAAATGCGCATCCAGTTGTTCGCCAAAAATAACACTCATTGCCATTCACGGGTCCTTTCACCTTTGACTTGTCAAGGTCTGGACCGGAGCTGAAAAAAAGCATGATTGTATTTAACCTGTGCTCATTCATTTTTTTTGTCATTTTACAATACAATTTATCAACATTATTCATTAAATGCAGATGAATAACTAAGGGGAAGTGCTTATGATCAACATCATTATTTTCATAGAAATGATTATAACCATCAATCACTATCTCCGTTCACCTGTCATTAAACAAGTCTCCCTCCAATTAAAGACCATTTTTTGGGACTGGGTTTCCATGTTCTTTAGATGTTTGTAAATATGAGACCACAGAAAAGTGGTCTTTAATTGGAGGTAGTCTTTAATTGGAAGGGTCTTTAATTAGAGGGAGATCTGTATTGTTATAAATTGAATACCATATTCTTATCAGTTCAAATCAATACCATTTTGAGGTCTAAGCTTCTCTGATTACAGGTATGCTAAAACTTATCAACAATAAACCTACACAGGCTTTGCTATGGCAGCTTCCGGAATTTTCTGTGGAGCAGCTTTCTGAACAGGTTTAACAGCAGCAGCAACACTAGCAGTAGCAGCAGCAGCAGCACTAGCAGTAGCAGCAGTTGGTTTGACGTTTTTTCGTATGACAGTGGTCCTAGGCTGGCCCGACACAATTGGGTTGTCAGGAAACTTTATTAGTAACTGGCGACCGTGATAATCTTTGCCTTGTAGTTTCTCCAGGGCCATGCTGGCAGATGGTGCTGACTTGAAGTTCACAAAGGCACAATATTTTTCGGGTAGCATACGAATACTTGTCACTGCACCCCATCTGTTAATTGTGAATAAAAATAAAACTCTTCATTGAAAACAATCATACAACCAAATTATTTTAACTTTATCTTTTAATAAATCCGAAAGCAAGTGCACTTGCAATTACAGAATATATAACTAAAGTTTTATTGACAAAAACAACATGTGATGTGCCTAAATATTGTGACAACACATCATGACATAAGTGCAACATGACTATGTAAGGGCATACAACATTCTCTTGTCAAAAAAAAATGATATCTGGACAAAGAAAAAATGGTATTGCACATGATTTGAATGTAGGACCCTGGTACTGGTATGCAAGCATCTAACAACCAAGCTACTGTTCCACATCCTTATGTAAATAATGAACTATTCCAATAAGCCTAACCCCTTGAATATTGTAGCCAAGTTCTCACAAAACGACGATCTTAAAATTGTGTTTCTGTGACATGCATATATTTCTGGCCTTGCGTTTTAACAACATGCTCGTATTGGTCAGTTGTTGACTTTGAACTTCTGGAAAAGTGCAATGTATATTGATTGAATTATATATTTACTGATGGTGGTCAACTCGTGAGGTCTTCACTCTGCAGCCACAATGACCTAAAATCCCCTCTATGCAACATGAGGATTGGAGAGGTTTCCAGCTTTACAACAATCATGGAATTTAGAAAGATTTTATCCCAGACCATAGGATCGGAAGGCCAACCTCATTCTAAATTTCAGTACCCAAACTTGTATATATATTTAGTTAATACTCACTGTGAAAATAACTCTTGCAAATGTTTTTCTGTTACAGTTGGTTGAACATTCCCTATCCACAATGATGTTAAGTTTTCTGGATTACGAGCACTGCAGAAAAAAAGGAAGAATTTATTATAATAATGTTGGAAAACTACTAACAATGACATTTTGGATAAATATTTTGTTTCTTACATATTCAACCATTAACTATGCACCACATAAATCTCATCAAACAGAGGTGTTTAACAATAGCTTTTCCTAATCACCATAAAACAAACTCATTTGCGAGAAAAAAAATGTAAATAAGACTTGGGAGAGAACTTACAAGAAAATATATTAATAAGCATGTTGTTAATATTAATCAATTACTGTACACCCAAAGAAATAAAATAAACATTATGGTTGTAAGGGGCAAACACAGACACACATGACTTTATAGACATTTGCAGAATCTTCAAAAAGACAAAGGCAACAATTTAATGGAAGAAGAAGTGTGTACAAGATTTTTTTAAATCCAGAATATTTACTCTATTTTATTTTCTTGAAGAGTTTGCATTATATAATCCTCCTCATCAGATATATATATTTCTTCATCAGACTCTGTACTTTGGGGTACCATTCCGCTGAGCAAAGAATCCAACGCAGCTTGCACTGACGTGAATTGTCGGATGGCAGCTTCACTTTGCTGTCTTGAAAAACCCATTTCCTAAAGAGGAAAAAGTTAAACATTTAATTCAGCATTTTGCATGTTACATAATTATATTAACATCCAATATTTTATTTTATTAATCCTGGAAATTAAAAATTAATATAAAAACATTACAATAACAAAATATCAGCAATCCACAAATAAAGGTGAGCCAAGGAGCAGCAAAAGCGAAAAAAAGCAGCTTCACTTTGCTGTCTTGAAAAACCCATTTCTGAGAGGGGAAAAAGTTAAACATTTAATTCAGCATTTTGCATGTTATATAATTATATTAACATCAAAATTATATTTTATTCATCCTGGCAAATAAAAATTAATATAAAAACTTAACAATAACAAAATCAGCAATTCACAAACATAAAGAATAAAAGTGAGCCAGGGAGCAGCAAAAGCAAAAACCACTGTCATGTTGAGATGTGCTGCTATCTCAAAATTATAAATGGACTAGCATAAAAAAGGTAGGATCACATGAAAGAGTGGTGTGTATTTATAAGTGGACTACGTTTCATATACTTCATTGAATTTTTGTATAAAAAAATATAACAATTTAAATATAAAATTGCTGGCCAGGGGTAAATGAAGCAAAATGTATTGCTAAAACTCCAATGATTCAAGTTACCCTTGTGACAGAAAAAAGAAAAAACTGAATGTAATCGAATGTCTTACAATAAGTTGGTGAGTCCTGACGCGTATTAGTTCTTGGATTGCATCATCGCATTCTTTATCAAGTTTTAAAACGTGTTCAAATGCTGCTTCAGCATCGGAATAAAGCTGTTTCGAGAAAACAAGAAATTCATATAAATGCTCATTAAGCAAAAATCCGGATTTCAGACTAATCTGATTTATGTTCACGTTCTTGTAACTACATATGAAAAATATATGAACAATGTAAGCAGTAAAAATATTAGGGTTTTTTTAGCCTATCAGATGACATATCTTGGAAGTTATGTTGTAATTATAGTAAAAAAAATCCCTCCAACTGAGAGTCGCACTCTGGTCTTCGATTGATACATAGATGCCTTACTCACTAGCCAATGGCTTAAGGTAAATTTGAATCCAGTAACTTCCGTCACTCTTTAATATGAGGATGGTACACCATTAGTCTTTGAATTGCCCATACGGAAATTTGATTATACAAAACAGGATCTCATTAAAGATACTAAACTTTTAAATAGTGGTATAAAAAGACTTTTAACCATCTTGATTGCAATCAGCATTCAAACTAGGATCTCCTACTCTTTGTTTTAAATTCAAAGGAAGATTTCTTCCAATCAGATGGATGATGATATTAAAAATTAGAATTAAGAAGATGATAACGATTGAGATGATGAAGTGATGATGTTGATGGTGGCAATATGAAATCAATGAAGACTTACTTTTAAGCCTGCAAGAGCTCTTCCTTTTCTAAAATAACCTTTCGGCCATTCTTTATTTAGCTGAATTGCTTTTTTAGCATCTTCTAATGCCCTAGAGAGGAAACAGTGACAATTCATCAAGTCAAACAAGAAAGGATAGTCCTATATCTCTTTTTGGGTTCCTGTCAAAGGTTAGTCAATTCAACATACAATTGATGCAATCCCATGAAAATAATTCCATAAGGGTGTGTGATCTATTCTATTTAAAGTGCAACCTTTACAATAAAATGTTATTCTACAATCTACTGCTGAGATCTGAATCTCTGACATTGCAAAATTATGTAGTGGAAAGGTTTTTGGTCAAAACATCAAACAAAACAAAATAAAAATCAACAATCAAAATAGTCATTGTCATTAGCATGTGACAAAGGATGTTTAAATTGCTTGTGTCTTTGTGACAAGGCACTTTAAGTTTCTGTTTCTCAGGAATTTAACCAGATGCCTGGTAGAATATCAACTGAACTTTATCATCAAAGTCTATAGTTTATCCATCCTATAAAATTATAATTCACAAACTGTCAGTCAAGACCCACAAGTGGGTCATCAAAATATTTTGGTGGTTCACAAAACCTCGACAGAAATCACCAAAATCAGCTAACTCAATTCTGTCCCTTAATTTTATAGGCATTTATAACTTGAAACATGTATGAGGTGTTATGATACATAACAAATTAAGCCATCAATCTGCATACTTTGATGTGCAATGACGCAGCAATGTACAATGTGGCTACATTCATAATTGTTCATTATAATTTTGTCGTAATGTTTATTTTTGCTTATGCATTGTTTATTTAAATTTAAAACCCCAGTCCCCAAATGGTGCACTGGGTCTAGCTCTCTAAATTAGGCATGCGTGGATTAGGGCCAGTGGGTTGTGATGAACGTCTGAATTTCCGAACTGGGTCGTCAGTGTCTAAAAGTTTACGAAACGCTGCTCTATAAGTCATACATTCATCCATACCCATGAAGAATATTATAGGAATCCATAGCAGTTCAATGGCACCAAAGTACTTGAGAATTACAAAAGACCAACAAAGCTAGTACCAAGCCTGAGACAATTACTGTCTTTTCAAGGAAGGATGAAAGCACTTCACATTTATCCATTGGGAAGTCAGAAGAATGTGAGGAAATATTTCTTTTCCCAGAGTGTGATTAATAGTGATACATGGATTGGGCTTTTTGAAGATATGGTTAATGTAAACCAGTGGCGGACCGTAGGGTAAATTGCAGGGCATGCTAGGTATTGGCATATCTAGGATGTACGAGGGTCGCGCACGCCCCTCTCCCCTGAAAAGAAAAATACTCACCCATCTCCCACCCACAATCATGCTCAAGTAGTTAAAAATCACCTCGAATCACCTTATTTTGCGAGTTAGCCTAATGACCTAACCTAATGACCGATCCCCACTTTACCTTCTCACCCCCATCAGCTCCCTTCCATTTCAAGACCCCTACGCCACTAATCGGAAGAGACGAAATTTTCTTTAAAAATTGAATAAAAATAGTAAATATATTATTTACTAGATTTTAATTTTTTTTTTTTTTTGTCAATTCCATACACCGTATATAAAATTATGGCGTATGTGAATTTTATCCATGTAGCTTTTGTATTTTTGGCACAACAAAAATAAAGATAACCAGTGTACTGATTTCCTGTGCATTTGTCCTACTGGGCGATTCTTTTACCTATCAGTGGAGCATTCAGCCACGCCACTGTAAACATTGGAAGGGGTCTATTTGTAGTCTACATCTAAATACAGTAATTACTATGTAAACTGTAAACTTGTTGTGAGAGAGAAGATAGATCAAAATTTGATACAATTGGAAATAGACAAATTGGATTAGGCATACTGAGGACTCGCCAACATGAGAGATATGAATGGAGGAAATACAGACAAAAAAGTTATATCCTAGAAGACAATGGGAATGTAGGTGAGAGACAGTCATGGCTAATATGGTGAAAGTGAAGCAAATGTAAGTAAAGTGTAAGTATCAAGGCCTGCATGGAAACAAACCACTAATAACATGCTTTGTTAAAGTAAATAAACATCTACTAGATATACTAATCCAAGAAATATTAGACAAGTTTTAAAATGAGATCTCTTATTTCGAAATATAGCAATAAGAAGAAATGTTCAACTTACTTATCATGCTGTCCCATTCGATCATAACAGAAAGATCTATTGCCAAAAAACCTGAAGAAACAAAATTATGGAAAAACATACTAAATGGTGCTAAATATTTTTAAGCACAAAAGTTTTAAAAATATTTTTAGAAAATCATAAAAAGATTAACATTTGACAATTCAGATCATGGGGGCCCGCACTCACTGCATCGTACAATGGTTGTACGACTGGCGGCCGATGGACGCATCCTCGCACTCTGCGAGCGCTAGACGATAAAATGCCGTCTTCTGATCTGGACAGATCGTCATTAAAAAAAAACGTTGCACGCATCGTGGCATTGTGTTCTCCATAGAATCACTGCGGCCGACGACTGTGCCAGCGAGTGCCTGGCTTTAGACACGTTGATGAAACATTAAACATAATACATTAAAAATACATCACATTATACATATTATTTGAACGTACCTAAAATCTTTTGAATCAAGATTGATAGCTTCAGTAAAAAGTTGAATAGCATCATTATACAGTCCTTGGTTAGCCATCTCATTCCCTTTCACTAGAAAATTATGAAACACAATTTCTGTCTAAATTCCAAAATACAGCTTGTTTTTTCATGAATTATTCATAAACAAAATAAATTTAGCACTGTGATAGTTTCCATTTTTCTATCACAACACGTATATTCTACTTTGCTGCATATAATAATCTACAGGTGATGGACAGATAAAATAACACATACCAGCAACTTGTCGGCTCCTAAGGACAATTGGGTCCATCCCTTCAATACTCTCCCCTTGCTCCTTGGATTTTTTATCTTTCTTTTTCCCCGAACTTGGTTGATTCGTTGTAATCTTTTTTGTTGCCGTGGCAGCAGCCCGTGCGAAAAAAGCACTTTGTGTGTCCCACCCCTGTACCTCTTCATCACTCTGCCCTGTATTTCCGTGTGCGTCTTGTCTATTAAAGAAATAATGGCTCAATAAATATCTATATATGCTATTTATCTGAACTGATACTCATTCAGAAGTAAATAATATTATAAGCATTTTCAAATTGTCTCAGCAGTCTACGTTTATTTACTTTCATTTTGATACATGTTCATGTGTCAAGCAAGCGTGACTTATGTGTATAAGCACCCTCAATTTTGTTACCAGGAAGTGCTTGTTTGCATATCAATACTCAAAGCGGTCTAAGCAAAGACCATTTTATAGCAATGGTCTTAGTGGTGTGACTTTAGTAAGTAATAAAGCCGCCTTTATTTGAGGAGTTAAGACTACCAGTTAAGACCGTTTTATAGCAATGCGCCCTAGGACTTTATTGCAGGGCAGGGGCAGATCCAGTAGGGTGTGCATGATCTGTAGTCCAAGGGGAGTGGTTGGGGAGCTTCAATGCACATGTACTCCATGTACTCTGAAAGTCAGCCATGGTTAACTGAAGTTGTTCATTATTAAATCAAATATAACTTTTAACTTACTTTTTATTTGTTGTTGATGAATCTTTTTTATTTTTATGCATCTGTTTTTGAAGAGGATTTTGTTCTACGTTTTCATCTTTGCTTTTTTTGTCTGCATATTTTGTTTGGTTTTTATTTTCAAATGACTTAGATGGATTGTTTTCACCTAAACTTGATTTTTCACTCTGTAATGAAATAAAATAAAACAATACTAATCAATATGAAATTGATCTGCAGTATAACTTCATAGAAAATGTTAATGGTAGCCGCACCCCTCCATCAATTAATATAAATGCCAAACCCAACGCTATTTTACGATACACCTATTTTGAGCTTTGACAGAAAACATATGTGATCCGCTCTGGCAAAACCAGCAATTTGTCGGAAAAAGTTTTTGGTATTTGTAGATTCCACATGAATTCTTCAAAACAGTGTTTATTTGAAATTGGTTGAGTATTGGCGAAGTTATGAATATTTAATTCATTGGACGTTAGCCATGTATGTTTTGAGAAAACAGCTTCCAAAGATTCCAAAATCAATAGTTTATAATTAAGATTTATATTAAAATTTTTTTTTTTTTCAGTTAGATTTAGCTAATGATATTTTGCTGAAATGTTCTTCAATATATCTTTCATAAAATGCAAAAACCTGAAAATGTTCAAAATTCTGATTCTTGAATGTTTTGGGTACTTGTGTAAAAATTAGAAATTGCGAAAAAAAAACAGCCAGAGCCAGTCACATATATTGGCAAAACCCACTCCCACAAACTATAATTAAGCAGTAAATGATTGCAATACTAATTTTTATATACTGACTTACATAATGGTTTTCATTTGTTATATATGGTTCTTTATCCTTGTTTTGTGTTATATTTTCTTCATTTATGTCTTCACTTGTTTCTGTATTTTTAGCTTTTTCGTTAGATTCTTTTTCTTGTCGTTTCTTTTCTTTTTGTCTCTTTTTCTTTGCCCTTTTCTTTTCTCGCTGTTTTCGTTGTTTTTCCTCCTCCTTGACAAGCTCCTCGGCATTTTTTCTTGCTTCCTATGAATACAATTATAAATAGATAGTACATTTGATTTCTTTTTTTTTTTTATTAATAAAGGACTCATATAGTGCACACACTCTTTTCAGAAAGAATTGCTCATGGCTTCTTCTTCCCACCTATCCAGGATTGCCATGGGGTATGAGGTGAGCAAAAATGGACATATTAAGATCAGGGGGGGGGGGCAGAGTCTGTTAGATCACAGCTTTGATTCTTCATTAATATGGCAACTTTAATGTCCAAATACTGGCCCAATGTAGACTGGAGATTAAAATGTAGAAATGATTCCCTTTTTATTCTTTATTACAAAAAATAACACATAATAACACATTTTATACTTAGTACATTCTCAACTGTGTTAAAAAGTGAAACATTCCGATTTAGGGGATGCATACCAGTTTTTGTTATATATTTAAAACTAATTAGCAGATCCTCTGGCTTTAATCAAGATTTTCCCACTTTAAAACAAATTTCAAAAATCATAATAATAAATTTATAATCCATTCTTTACTTGTTGTGAAAAATTAGAAGTTTTACGTACACTTTCAGAGGGCCGATTCTTTGTTATGTTAAAGTTCTCTGTTTTATGTTTAAAATTTCCTCGACCACAGTTGTTTGCCAAGTAGTGAATAAATTCTATATCATCATCCTCTTCATTGAAGAAGTCATCATCATTTGAATAATCACTGCCATCATCAAAATCATCACTGTCATAACAATCATTAAATCCTGGAAGAAAAGAAATAAAATTTGTTTGCATACACAGTTAACCTCACTTAAGTTGATTTTCCATAAGTCAACTTTGCATTTACCATGACAGAAAAGTAATTTATTATACGACATGGGGTGGGGGGGGGGGAAGAGGGAGCTGCTACTTAAAATCTCTGTTACATTACAATTTTAGCAGTAAAAACCAAGGTTACATGCCCAGTATGTGTCACCTCTATCTTCACTTTGTATACCATTCCACAATTGTTTTTTAAACCAAAATATATTAAATGTTACAAGTTACACATATTCTATATAGTTTCCTTTCAATGTCATCTGTACTGTGTAATTTATAAAAGAGAAAATCAATAACAATTCTGAAATAATATTTTATGTCATTAAGAATGGTATGTGTACTTACTAGCATGGAAAAACATCCTAGCAAAGAGGTCAAACATCTCTGACTGTAAAAAGATAAAGCAAATTGATTAATTATATGTAAAGCAACAATAATATTAACACAATGGCAATCAACAATTATCAAACAAATTATCTTGACTGAAGGCATAAAATTGGCTCCCAGTGGGAGTATATGGTCTACTGCTTGACCTTTTTTTTTTTTTTGGCAATTCACTTTAATAACTGTACAAGCAGAGCCGTAAGAGGTTTAGTTCTGCTAAAATAATTGCTAGCCCTTATATACAGTATCAGCTATTGAATATTGGTCTAGTTTTATTGTATTTTTTGCTAGCCCAGCCCTAAAATACTTAAGTCCCGGACATAGGACCACCAACTATTTACAGCCCTGACAAGTATACCAGATTGTGACTTTTAGTGAACTTTATATGACAGGTCTTATCTAGCAGCTTTCTATGTTGGCAATTTACTTGATAACTTAACTAGGACAGGCCTTATCAAGCATTGCATCATATTTTGTAAACTTACTTTTTATTTTTATCTGTAGCTCATGACCCATGCCATGGTATTTCTTGAAATTAATTTAAGCAATATTCTAGAAACCTAATTGTGTTTTAAGTGTAATTTTTAGCAACTTTTCTCTTTGTGTTGTTGAATAAAAAATAATACATAGATACCAATGTTGAATTTTAAAATAAGTAGAACACCTCAATATGTGTTGGCCACAGTAAAAGACATACTCTCTCTCATTTTGTGGCTGAAAAAGTGCCCCCTTAATAGGGGTATCCTAAAGGCGGGACTCTACTCATAGTATGTACAATGTGATACTCCAAACATACAGCTGAAATAAGTTTTTATGTTGTTAATTTTTTTTAAACATTGTATACAGGTTTTTTTTTTTTCAATATGACATAATATTTAAAAAATAACACTTATATAGTAAGAAAAAAAAAAAATCATATTTAAGAAAAAAAAAAAAAAAAATGTTGATTAAGTGTTATAATAATAAAGGGAGGGAAAAATTACATTCATATTTAAGTTTGAGAGTGCCATTTCCAGCATCCAGAATTGGGCCATAACATACAATTTTGTACCTGAGCACCTAATCATGAAGGGGCTGAGGTACTGTAGTTTGGTAGTCCCTCCCAAGGCCCACCTATATTTTGAATTCTTACGATCCACCACTGGTAATCACCACTAAAGTTTATAAAATTTGGGGTTTATAGTAAGTAATTATTTCAAAAATCATTTTCAAAAAAATTGTCAATTCATTAAGTAATACCTACTTTATTATTTTATGCTATGACACTCTCTCTTAACGGATAGGAAACATCCAACTTTCAAGTTTCTATATTGCACAATTATTGACTGAATAATGAAATAAATACTTACTGGTGACAATATGATTTCACTTCCATCATCAGGCTCGTCCGATGTCAGGCGTTTATACGCTGCTGAAACCTCTTGGAATTTCTAATCAACGAAACATTTAAAGAAAACTATTAGTACTTAATACAAATGTACAAGTGTATACCACTTGGCCTCATAGCTCAGTTGGTTGAGTATCCAAACAGTAATTGGAAGGTCTTAGGTTCGATTCACGATGGGGACATACGTTTTTCTCAAATACTTATTATCATCTTTAATTAACACCAGTGGAGGTGCATCTCCATACCAAAGTTACTTTCAAGAGATTTACTATTATTCATTGCATATTACGCAACATCTTGAGAAAATATGGGTTCTAATGGGAAAATCCAAGGGTGTTATCACTTGGTCTCATAGGTCAGTTGGTTGAGTATCGGAACGGTAATCGGAAGGTCTTGGGTTCCAATCCCAATGGGGACATACATTTTTCTCAAATACTTATTAGATCATACAAATTAATGTATGCTATTTGAAGAGTATACTAAATGACGGTACATGAACTACAATTAAGAATATTGAACAAAAGTATTTATAGATGTACCGTCTCATGAACCCCAAAATATCATACAAAGTAATTTTTGAAATTACCTTGCTCATTTTGAAGTAAAAAAAATTATCAATTGAACAAAGAAATTAGTGTACTTAAAAAATGTTTAATAATAATTTTACAGCGAAAAATTATACAAACACATTTTTCAAATTCAAAAATTTCAAATGCTAAAGTTAATAAACTTAGTAAGTATTTCAGAAATACTTTTTATGATTCCTTTATTATTTTTAGGGGGCAATTACCTATAAATCTTGATAATAAATAGTAAATCATAAATTACTTTGAGATACCTTTGTTGCTGAATCTGAATTACTATGTTTATCAGGGTGCCATTTTAATGCTAATTTTTTATATGCAGCTCTAACCTCTTCCTCTTCAGATCCTGTGAACACAAAGCAGGTTATTAATTAAAATATCTTTGAATAAATTCATCCGGTTTCAGAGTTATTTTAATAATTCAGGTGTATAACCTGGCAACACACAGTTACTTTTTGTTGTCTTTTGAATCAGTACACAATGAGAATTCATGTAATAAAAGAACCTTCCAGTTTCATTCAAATACACTAATAGCAAATTCTAGAACATGGCATTACAACTAAATTCTATTTTCTTTACAAGAATAATAATTCACAAAATAGGATTAGGAGAATTAATTAAGAACTTTAACAGTTTTAAAAAAGATAAAATGTAGAAAAGCAAAGATGGGGCTTCCTTGCAAGCACAAATAAGGATAGGCCCAAATGCTAAGACTTGTTAATGAGGGCCTCTTTTGTTGGTTTTGTTTGTTTTTAGCCTATACCGTAATTTTAATGTCTGTAATATACTTTTTAACACTAGGCCTATATTTTTTTACCCTTTGTATAATTAACCAATTGTATAAGCACCTGGATCCAAATTTCGACTGTATCATGTTGTATTGTCGACAATAAAGATTTCTTGATTCTCACACGTTTTTTACCTGTCCAGCAAGTGCAAAATCTTTTGAAAGAAATACCTTGTTGTTTTTCTTGTTAGTTACATTAGTTTAAATCCTAGTTTCACGTTTATTGGTTTAACATTTTATGAAAAATAAATGAATTTATTGCATAAAAGAGAAGAATACTGTTGACTTAAGGCTAGGCCTCCACCAGTCTAGTCTAGGCTGGTGGCAGGCCTAGCCTAGACTAGCATTAACTTGCCTCTCGGGATGCCCAGAATATCGTATGCTTCTTCGGTTGACAGCCCCATGTCCTCAGCCCTTTCTTGCGGATGGTCCACAAATTGATCACGTTTTCTAGCTAGAACAAGAAGCCCCAAACTATGTTGATAAAAGTAATTAAGAGTGGTACAACTAGCCCTACTCCAAATTTATTTGTCGTCTTACGATCATAACAAGGTTAATTCCACTGGTTTTTACATCACAATTTTACGCCAACGATCATCACATTTCAATATAACTGATCATAAGCAGGCTGCTAAAAACATGCATGCGCAAAAGAAGGACCGCTGTCGTCAGGATAGTGATCACGTGGTGTTCTATTGAAAAATAAGTTGAAAAACTTACTATAGTATAAATAGACCTACAGTACTTATCAACTATTTATTGGTCATTTAGTATATAAATTTAAAGAGGCCAGCATGTTATATGCACACAATCAAACATTACACATGACCATTGCTGATATTGTGGTATCATAAATGGTCATGAAAATTTTCCACCGTATTGATTAAATTATAAACCGGGAATTCCCAGTCGACCGTCGTATAGCCTACTGTAAAATGGTTAATATTAATTAAATTCAATCATAGAGATATTGTTTACTATAATACCTTTATGACTCAATTCAATTTACTACAATCCTTTTAATCGATATTAAATACATATATGATAATTGTCTTACTGTGTTAATGATACAAAGTTAAAATAAATACCGGTATATGCCTAGGCCTATGTTTCTGTGCAATATATTTATGTCGCAACAGTAGCCTAGACATTTAAATTGTGAACATTTGTATTACATTGACATTTACAAAATAACCAAAATGGAATAGCAGAGGGTAGCCCTTTAAACTGGAATGCTTGTTTCAGAAATGGTCCTCAATTAAACATTAGCATAGAAACTTGTATTTTTTTCTCTTAATAGAAAAAATGAAATCATATAGATGCATACAAATTTCACATGATACATTTTTAAAAACTAATTTATTAATATTATTATTATATGGTAAAAGTAATATTAAAAAAATAACTTACCAAGATCTTACCCATATCAAATAAAATACAACATATTAATAAAAAAATATGAAAGAACAATTTCATTTCATTTCATATATTTCGCCAGTTAAAACAACAATACAAGGACAAAGAAAGTCAGGACAACACCCTTGTCAGCGACAGGATAAACAAAAAGCAAACTTAATTGCTGTAAATAGTTTTTTCTTCCAACAAGGGCAGTAACATTAAAAACATTGAATACAAGGTATAATAAATATATGTATACATATACATATATATATATATATATAACATTATAAAAAAGAAAATCGAAATCACATCAAAAAGAAAAGCAAATTGTGCAGGAGAGATTACCATTTATGATTAATAATACAGTAAATGATTTAGAACGTTTAGTTTTAACTTTGGGATACAAAATTCATGGACTTTTTTAAGGTTATATGGGACAAAAGTAGTTTCGGGTAACAAATGATTCAATTTTTTATTTCAACAAAAAATTCCTTGACGTTCTTCTAAGGTAGAAAACCTAAGAATACCACGGGCACACTCATAACTTTCTCCCGGAAGGATACATTTCAAAGCTCTTCTCTGGATTTGTTCCAATTGTTGGTTCTGATGCTTAGTAACATTGGTTTCCAAAACTGGGACCGCATATTCCTCTAGTGTATGGGTACAGAATTTCATGCACGTCTGTTCAAAACTAGCGACGCCGGACGCTTTTAAAGTTTGAAACCACTGTTTTGTTTTGTAGGTGTAGGGGACTTTAAAAAGGGCGATGAACATTTTTGTTGGAAATTTCATGCACGTCCATTCAAAACTGGCGACGCTGTACGCTTGTAAAGTTTTGGTAACGACAAGAATAAGAAAAAGAACAACAGCGGTGAGGCTCTGGGTCAGCGCTTCGCGGCGCGGACCAAAAACACACGGCCGCCACGACGAACAAAGGCGCAAAATTTGCTGTTTTGAGGCTTGTGAACGCATTAAGTCGAAAAGTTACCGGTATTTGTATTTATCAGTTCTCCCAATTACGTTACAGTTAATATTAGTTGGATCTACGGTAGTATTTTCCATGAAATCAAATACCGGTAGTGTTTCTTTAGTTTTAATAATATTTTACAATAATATAATTTCTGTCACACACATCTATTAGATTGGCCACCTCATTCCTGTAAGCTATTTTACTACCCTTTCAGATTGATCAAATTATCGTTAGTGTACATTTTTTAAAATAGGGTCACATTACACATTCTTGAGGTGCTTCTGCATTTGAAATTTTATCTTTTGACACTCATTAATTTAAACTCTTTTCCTGTCACTTATAAAACATTACTAATCAAAGTGGGCGTCAATATTTATGGTTCTACATTCTGTGACAACATTTGAGTTTGCAACACTGAATTTCAATAAATAAAGTTCTTTCGTGTGGTTTTGCCTATAATCTAAGTGATCAAGCTAAAAGGTTAATATTGCATACGGTTTGACACATCGTTTTGGTGTATTGTTGAGCGTCATCATTCGCATTCTTAAAAAAAAAAAAAAAAAAAAAAAAAAAAAAAAAAAAAAAAACTTGGGCGAAAACACAACTGCATGGAATGCTTTACGAAAACAGCTTGTAAAAGAACACACTGGGTGCCTCATCTAAGTAAGCGGTGACTATTCTTATAACGAAGTCGTATTACATTATTGTTTCTTGAAAGTTCCATCGAAAATATTCAATGCAGTTCAACATTCCTCATAGTTCCTCTATCAATGAATTTAAATATTTCATGTATTTTAAGGTCTTTTATGGTCTCATTTTTTATCAGACGATGTGTTGCTATCCGTTTAATTTTCATGCAATAAATCCTCATTCGAAGTCTCCCCACCTTTCCAGGAATACCCATACCACATCCTAAACAACTGATCAAGATCAACAACGGATCCATCTCGTGTAAGTGTGAGTGTACTTCCGTGGCCACTCACTTTGAACATGGACAAATTGTTCTTTGAAATGAACTGATTCGTGTTCAGCAAGACGCTATCCGGATAACCTTCTGAGCAGTACATGTATAGCATTTCAATGACGTGCTCCTCAACTTTTCTTTGTTTTGTTTCTGCATCGACCCTACTGGCTTGCTCGATCGTGTCCTTGATTTTGGTAACTGCACTTTCATCTCCTTCAGCAGACCTTTCGATAAGCTTGACCAAACATTCCAAGGCTTCGATAGATCGCTCCAAATTCTGGTGAGCCTCAGAAAGGTTCCCGTCTTCATCGTCTTCAGTTATACCACTCGTTTCAAGGTATTCAGCATACGCGTCTATTTGTTTAAATTTTTTGAAGATATTGTAACCTGGCATGTGATAGCACTGGAGATTTCGCTGTTTCGCATGCTTCAGGATTGACCTGATAAGCTCAAAAACGAGGTGTCCCAGGTTGTCTATTGTCCAGTCACTTTTCGGCCGTGTGTGGACCATGTGAAAAAAGACGTTTTTTATAGCATACGAAGTGACCGACGAATGCATGTCTTGAATTGACGCCGAATAATATTTTGGCAGAAAGTTCCCCAGGATATATTTGACGACCCTTATGAATCTTTTCTCTGTTGAATCCACGGAATATCGGCTGAGAAATTCTTGTTCCAAAAGTGCACAGGAAAATCGACATTCATCACCAGTTCTTAGTATGCAATGCATTGGTATACGACTTTGTTCCTCGTCGCTCATTTGTTTTGGAACAGCGAGGGTGTAATCAACACTCACTGTTAGCTCGGAATACTCAACTCCGGACCATAAAAGGTACGGTGTAACGGCACCACGATTGAAGTCGGCTTCTACCTTATAATGTTCCGGGTGTCGCACCCAGCCCGGCATATCAACCTTTTCAAGGTATTCGGCGATGAACTTCTCGACAGCGCTCTGTATGCCCGACAGAAGATCAGATATTTTGTGACTTTTCAGTAAGTCCACATACAAGTCGTAATCTTCGTCTCCTGGTTGTATGTCGTCACATTCGATATCTTGCTTATCTCTGACTTCGTAAACATCCCCGAAGAAGTCATAGTTCTGAACATGGATCGAGGCACATTCAGTGGATTCATTGTCGTCAAACGTGAAAGTAATGACGGACTTGTCTATGGCGGGTAGTTCTATCATGAAGTCGTACTCGTCAGGTGCAGATATCCTCAGCTGATCTTGCATGCTTCCGGCTTTTATCAGTCTTGCACCCTTAAACATTTTCCATTTTTGTTCTAATGCTGACACCAATCCTTCTGATATACTGTTTACGTCTTCCTGGATCCGTCGGGTTTCTTCAGAAGCAGGGAATCTCGCAGCACCCCGTGAAAGCTCCGACACATACACATCAAACGGTGACTGTGCCGTGGTCGTAAGCGAAGCCATGCTGCATTAGTGGCCCGAGCGAGACTGGATCATTTCATGAATTTACATTCTTAGCTATAAAAAGCAGTTCCAAAAATAGATGTTTATGAATACATTATCGTGATCGTTTACACGTGACGTCACATTTCCCAAGATTCTTTTGTGTCGGCCATTGCTAAGGTCATACAATAATAAAAGCCGGAAGCATGCAAGCATGCAGGAATGTTTTACTATTTAGAAGAGGAGAAGTGTGTAATTTCAATGGTTCTTTTAAGTTTGACATAGTCGAGGGGTGGTGTGGTGTATTATGTGAGTGTTAGCGAAGTCATGTTTATTATTGTTGATTAGTTTATGTTGTTGTAATAATTGTGTATTTTCTCTTGTACGCGCCTTCCGTCTGGAAGAGTGCCACTGTTTTAAAAGTGTAGCTTCCGAATAAAAAAATAAATAAGCAACGCGATCTATATCAATTTTCATAGCAAAGGTTGACGGTACAGAATAGCGTTTTCTGTGTACTATCATCATAGATTAGATGCGAAATGCAAGGCTAGGTCCTGTCTCTTATACACATCTAGATGTGTATAAGAGACAGGTAAAAAGTACCGCAATGGAGCATTCATGTCATAACTGTAGCTTTCATGTCATAACTGTAGCTACGTATAACGCCTTAAAAATAAAGTATAATTAACAGTGGGTCAGAGGGGAATCCAGGGCATAATTATCTGCCCAGGTATGTGGCATGTGGGGCCCATGTAGAATGAACATAAAAATGGTCATGCATTTTCCCAGATATTTGGCACATGGGCCCCATGTGGCGTACATATTCCTACAGCTATCTGCCCAGTTACTTGGCATATGGGGCTATATATGTAGAGTAAACACATTTCCAACTTTCATCTTCTTAC